AATGACACTACCTCGCACTCTAATACACAATTAGTACTTCGACTTCTACTCATACACACTATCCATTTACTGATTCTGTGCTATCTTTTTTTTTTTCAAGCAGAATACGGCATACGAGCTCCTCTTGTGCCTGGATTTCTCACGTGTGCTCTTTCTCTCTCTCTCTCTCTCTCTCTCTCTCTCTCTCTCTCTCTCTCTCTCTCTCTCTCTCTCTCTCTCTCTCTCTTTCTCTCTTTCTCTCTTTCTCTCTGTCTTTCTCAGCCTCTCCCCCTGTGTCTCCCAGTTTTTTCTCCCCCGTGCTCTATCGACCTCTCATTCTCCGTCGCACTCTCGCTCCAAGCGTATGTATATGTATATCTCTTTGCGTGCTGCATCTACTATACTGTACGCCTTGAACGCTGCACCTGAGGCTTTGTTGCTGCATAGCTAGAGGCTCTCATGCTGTGTGTTCGCCTGCTGTAGGTCTCATTTGCCGTCTCATTAAGGCGGGTCGGATTGCAGGGCGTGCGGTGCTCCTTGCCGGGCAGCCGGGCACAGGCAAAACGGCCATTGCGATGGCCATAGCAAAGGAGCTCGGCGCGGTAAGCATGGACGATCATTGGGGTTCTTTGCATGCAGATAGGCCTCAAGTCTTGAGCTTCCTTTTCTTGACGGGTCCAGTCGAGGGTTGTGCCGGCATTTTTTCTGTGCGTAAGGGCGTTTGCGGTTGCGCCGATCGTTGCGCGTCCATTCAGGATACTCCCTTCACGCATTTGTCAGGATCTGAGATCTTCAGCTTGGAGATGTGCAAGACTGAGGCCCTTACGCAGGCCTTTCGACGTTCCATAGCCGTCCGTATCAAGGAGGAAGCAGAAATTATTGAGGGAGGTTCGCTGCCGGGAAGGGGGCAAAGGGGAGATTTAGCGCGAGCAGCCAGGCACTCGCATGCGCCCCCACCCTACGAGATCTGCTCCCCACAGGGCTCTCCTATCGAGCGTTCCCGCATGGGCACCCGTCTTCGACAGAATTGGTTGTTACACATGGGGCCTCATCTGGGAAATCTTGGTGCGACGCACCGAGCTCCATGGCGACTGCTTCTGCACCCTTGCCCGTGCGCGTCTGCCCTGCTGTGAGACTGCTGCTGCAGAAGTTGTGGAAATCGAGATCGATCAACCTACTGGAAGTGGCGCCGCTAGAACGGGCCGGATGTCCCTCAAAACCACGGAAATGGAGACATTGTATGACTTGGGTTCAAAGCTTATAGGTAAGCGAATTGGACGAAGAGCCGCCAGATCTCGCGTGTTTGTGTACACTTCCGTCGAGAGCGAGGCGCCTAGCTAGCTGGCTAGCCAGTGCTGAGGAGGCGTGGCAATGGCAGGCTTGCTCCCCCTCCGTTGTCACACACTTCGTAGCCGGCTGGATGCTCGGCTGGATGCTTCGTCTGTGTTAAGCCCGAGGGGCTTGTCGTGGAAGTCACAGACTGGTCCTGGTGCATGGCATGCGGGAGGGAGCTAATACGCCTTCACACCTGCTGGCCGTCCGTCGTCACTTGGCAAAGAAGGCGGGCAGTAGCTGTTCAAAGATGCAGTTTTGCCGCGCTTCGCGTGCAATGCGCGATTTTCCTCTCTTCGGGGTCATTTTGTCTTAGGTGGCGCCCTTCGCGTTTGTCTAGCGATGCAGATTGTGCTGCTGCGTTCACCTGCCTCCGCAGATGCTCTAACCAAGGAAGGCGTGAGTGCTGGAGATGTGATTTCCATCGACAAGGCGAGCGGCAAAGTCACAAAGATCGGTCGAGGCTTCGCAAGGGCTAAGGACTTCGACGCCGTGGGTCCTACCACCCGGTTTGTCCAGGTAACTGCTGCTGCGATTCTTTGTATGACTCTCCATCACGCGAAATCCTGCAGACATCTGGTGCAGGCTGCTTCTCCCCCTTTATCAAGTTAGGACATGCTCGTATCTAAGAAGGGCTGCGTGCACAAAGCCTAGCTCGCAGATCATGCTGATTCTGAGGCGAGAAGCCTTTCAGGTCGAAAGGCGCTTTTCGTGCTTGACGCCTTTGCAGTGCCCTGAGGGCGAGCTCCAAAAGCGGAAGGAGGTGGTTCACACAGTCACGCTCCATGAAATTGACGTCATCAACAGCAGGTGTGTCGAGGCCTCCCCTCTCCCGGCTCAGTGCGACCACCGTTGTGGAATTGGGGGTCTAGGGTGCTCGCGCCTATCCGCTATTGCCCGTAGCTGTGAACGTTCGCCAGAGGACTGCTGCAGCAGAGTTACATGCCACCCATACACCTGTGCAGCGCAGAGCCTCGAGAGTGGAATCGAACGCAGAAAAAAGGGGTCTTAGAGGGTGCCCGCTCGGGATGGGGGTCCTTGTTGCGGGGAATTATTTCTCTTTTACGTGTATAACGAGAACTGTGGGGCGCAGATGCATCTAAAGGAATTACACGGCCTAGTGCGACCCGTGTGGAGACAGTTGCACTTTTCATTGCACATGTCTGTGAGGTGTGCCTCCTTAATTGCCACAGGGCACAAGGCTTCTTGGCCCTCTTCGCTGGTGATACAGGCGAAATAAAGCCGGAGGTCCGCGAACAGATCGATACCAAAGTGGCAGAATGGAAAGAAGAGGGAAAGGCGGAAGTAATTCCTGTAAGCCCCCCACCACTACGAAGCGCTCTTCGCTTTCACCAAACATGCGTTCGATGTTGCGCACGGGGTTTCAGGTTTTCTAGGGGGGCGTAGGAAGGCTGCGAGTTTGTTTCTGCAGGGCGTACTTTTCATAGACGAAGTCCACATGCTCGACATCGAATGCTTCTCGTTCTTGAATAGGTTGGTTGCTGCGATTGCGCCAGCTCTCGCTGCCTGTGCGTGTTATCGCAGCTTTGCAGCCGACAGGTGCGACCAGTGCTGCTATTTTTGTGCACGCTTGTGTCTGCGTATGGGCTGGATGCAGGGCCCTTGAGAGCGAAGCGGCCCCTATCGTGGTCATGGCAACCAACAGAGGTATCACCACCATCCGGGGCACAGACTACAAAGCTCCTCACGGCGTGCCCCTGGACCTTCTGGATAGAACTCTCATCATTGCTACGGAACCGTACTCGGAGCAGGAAATGCTAAAGGTGGGCAGCATAAAGGGCTTCAGCGTCAGAGGGATGTGTATATAATTGCATAACTATGTGGCATACACACGTGCACACGTATATGTATTCATGCGTATCAACAGTAGATCTAAGCAAGGCTGGCAAGGACACCACTTCTACAGGACAACCTTCGTGCTTATTTCTAAGAATGTAGGGCTGAGGGTGTGTTTGGGGGCGTGCAGATTATCGAGCTGCGTGCGGAGGAGGAGGACGTAGAGCTCGAGCCGGAAGCCCAGCAGTTGCTCTGCCGCATAGGTCTGGACTCTTCTCTGCGGTATGCACTCCATCTGATAACAGTGGCGAATCTCGTCGCCAAGAGAAAGAAGAAGGCAGCTGTAGACGTGGAGGATGTTCGCCGGGTGTACACACTCTTCCTGGATGTGAAGAGAAGCACAGAGTACTTGGTAGTAAGCCAGTCGCACTATTGTTCTGTACACGAAGTTTCGTTCACCAGAGGGTCAAACAGGCCCCTTTTGCCTCTCGCTCAATGGAGGGCCCAGGGGTGTTTTTGAAGCGCCTTTCACACACTCTCATCGGCAGGCCGCGTTTCGCCTGTGCGACTGCTGTTTTTTGTTGAGGTCTGAATTTGCTCGTCTCTGCAAGGCTCTCTACCCCTATGTCACCTGTGTTTGTGCTGGCTGCTCTACAGGAGTACCAGAGAGAGTTCATGTTCTCCGAACTCAACGATCAGGGTGCCGGGGATGTCACTATGGAAGAGGCGAAGACGGAAACTGTCGGGGCGTAACGGGCAACAAGGCCTTTCTGATCTCGACATTTCGTTTACTATTTTCGTCTAGGCGTCATTGCACGTGGTTGTATTTTGTTCTACAGCTCATGATGTGCAAGCATACGCATAAAGAGGTCTGCGCACATGCGTGGGCCTCGGCGAATTTCGCGTCTGTGTTTGTGAATCCTGTTTTTTTTATGGGAAATGCCGCACTGAGAGGGACTGCCGACCTTGCTTCAAGACAGAGAAAGGGGAATCAGCGTTTTAAAGAAGTGCGAAGTTTTGAGGTTACATCTGTCCGTACGCAAATTCGGGGAATCATAACCCAGAACTCAGAACAAGCACCACCGAGTCCCAACGTAAATAGCCTTTTCTTTTATTAGGTCATATTTTAGAACACGAACACTTTGCCTACACCGCTGCATGAATATCTCGTGATGTAGCGTGAAGAGCCGACATGAAGTCGCGTAGTTTGGATAGGGCTCAGCTACTTGCATGTTCTAGGAGCAAGCCAGACGGGCACAATGGGGTAGATGCCTTTGCTCTAGCGGTTGCCGATGCAGGTACGCCCACCTATGTGGTGCGCTGCTATAACGGATCCACTGGCTGTTGCATGTTATCCAGAAAATGAATTAGTTCTTGTGTATCCGGCGTTAGAGTGTATGACCCCGTATATGCTTGAGCGAGAGCCTCCTCTTGCTTCCCTTGTTTGAATTACAGCTTTGAGGGTAAATGAGCCACTGGTGACCACCCTGTGTACCCGGTCGCATTGGGCAAACATTTAGGACCCTGCCTTCGTTCGGAGCGATACAGCCTGCAGTGGATTCTATCTAGTCTCAGGCGTTCTCAGGCACAACTAGGGTGTTTTCTGTCGACCTCGGGCTAGCCACAGCATATTTCACTCCCATGCATAGCGGATCATTCTTCTTGATCTCGCTGTACAGCATGCCAGCGCCAGTATTTTCCTTATTTCTATGAGCAGCGCACCATCTACTAGCAATAGAAAATTTAGGGTGTACGCCGGTAGTTCCAAAGGTTTGCTTGTGTTGTCATCACACTCGGCTCGATTGTATGCCGAAGAAGGACATCCGCGAAAGCATTAGCTTCCCTCTTACGTAGTCGAGACGAACCTGATCCCAAAATTGAGGAATGCCTACTTAGGCGGCATCCTGTAGTACTATAGGCGTGTCACTGGGGTACCAGTTCGAGGGTCAGGGTATGGCGTAGGATGCCTGTTAATAGGGGACTTGTTTATCTTTTGCCATGACACGCGTGGCGTGGGTGTATGATTCTAGCAAGGTTTTAGGACATTCGTAGAGAAGAGACAAGAGAGCAGTCCTTCTGTGCGTTAGCGTATTCGTGTACCCTCTAATGACAGCTGTATGGGTTATCTGAGGCATGGTGGGGTCGTCGATGCGCGGCATATGCAGGATTTGCGTTGAACACAGAGATACCACGCTACAGCTTCTAGTATACTTGCCACCATGAGAAAGAGTTTCCCAAAGGGCTCGTAGGGAGAGGCGCACCACGTGCAGCGGAATGGCATTTTTACTGGAAATAAGGCTCTTCTGTGTGGCAAAGTTTGAAGCTCCGTAGGCACTTGCTCAAGCAGCGTGCCAAGGTAGGGAAACGTTGGGCATCACGGCATAAATGGAAGCGCAAATGCAGCACAAGCCACATGAAACTGAAGCATGCAAAAACTCGATTCATGGAATTGCGCTGTACATGTGGTGGTCATGCAAAATGCGGACTACGCGGCTGGGGGGCAGGAAGCAGGTATAGTGCTTCCGACAAAGTCACACCTTCCTGCATCCAAAAGCGCTAACGAAGGCCAATGATGCTCCAAGCTACTTTCCCGGCCCTCACGAAGCACCTCGGTCCTCGCTTGCTGTAGTACACAACAACAACCCCACCGTGATCTCGCCTTCCAGGGGGCCCCCCACCGCCGACTCTGGGGAGCTTGAAGGGAATCCGAACAAGTGCTACAAAACAATATACTCTGTTTTAACGGAAGATACTATATGCGCGTCAGGAAGTTGCCCAAAAGCCCCTGTTTTTTTGAAACAGCGTAGTTTCACAGGCGCGGCGCCCCCCGTGCGCGGACTGCTGCTGAGGGGCCTCTACTGGAAGGCACACAGGGAGCCTTTTCTCCAGTTGCATGCAAATTATATTTACGTACTACAACTGGTGGCTTTTCAGCCATGCATCTCTGGCGAAGGCAGCAGCGAGGGAGTAAGTGAGTGCTCGAAGCGAGACTGGAAGGGGGTGCGACTCTCCTTGCTGTAGCCAGCGGCAGTAGGAAGTCCAGCTGCACCCGCACCAGCCATATGCATCACACGCTCGAAGCCACACAATGCCAAAGTAATCCAGGGGCCATGCAGACATGCCACAGCAACAAACCCTCCTGGGGGGGAACAGCTGTTTTGTCGTAGCCTCTCAGAGTCCTCTCCGTGATGGAAGCAGCAGCAGCACCAAAAGCCTGCAGTCGCCCAGCTGCCGCGCTATCGAAACTGTGGAAGTGCACCCCAGCACCATGGACGTTTGTTCAGGGCCTTGTCGGACGGTGCGGCCTCACAAGCCGCAACGAAAAGGCCGCAGTCATTCACGCATTCGGAGCAGCGCTTCTGAGTGCCTTTCGCGAAACTGGAGCTCAGACAGTAACAGCGAAGACAGCAGCAGCGACACGGAAAGCGGCTGCAGGAATTCACCGCCTACGCGAAAACTGCAAAGCAGCCCACATGCCAGCACCCTTCGTGGCAGGCAGTCTGCGCATGCCAGTGCAGCGTCTCTCAGTAGCAGACACACCGCGAAAGGAGCTTCAAGTGCTCACCGAGTATTTCCTGTAGATGCCGCTCTATCCAACTTTGAGGCTTTCTTTTATGCGCCCTTCTCCGCATCGGTCAAAGCGGTGCTGGCAGTTGCTGCTGACGCTGCTCCTGGAATCGTTTCCCACCTTGCAGCGGCAGCTGCAGCGCCTTTTGTGTCGGATGCCCCACCTCAAGATACTGTTGCAGCAGTAGCAGCACTTGAGGAGGCCATTTCTGCCTTGCTGCCTTTCGCCGATGCCATGGAAACTTGTCTTGAAAATGGAAAAGGAGAAGGAGCAGCAGCAGCAGCAGCGCGCGATGAGGAAGCTCTCCCATCCACTGATCAAGGGTGTGCACTTGACCAACTGGCAGACGCATTGCTTATTCTGTCTGCTTCAAATCAAGCCGTGCAACGCGAAGGATGGGAGCGCATGCGTGCAGCGGTTGCTGTAGCGGGAGAAACGGCTGTCGTGGATACCCCCGAAGCCGCTGCACCCTCAAGGGCCTGGCGTGTGGTGTCTGCAGCTCTCAATCGCTGCATGCAACGAGGAGGCCTGCTAGGAATGCATGCCGCGATTGCATACCTTAGGTTTCTAGGGGTAGGCAGCGGCTATCTGAATCAGAAAGAGCCAGGGTTGTAGCAGCTTTGGCAGCTTCTTCTTAAGGGGTGCCGTGCAGAGGGGACTTAAAGTCTTGCGTCGTCTCCGTACACTCTAGCGTCTATAAGGCTTATTATGCCCTGAAGCGGGCTAAATGTATAGCCGCTAGGTTGCAGTGCAGCTAGCCGAGGTAATCCATGGCCTTCGGAAGCTCGAAGGGAGAAGCTGCCTTCATGCCTGCTTGCCTACATATATATATATATGTATATATGTATATATGTACGTATATATCTATGTATATATGTATATGTGTGTGTGTATGTGACTGTGTGTCTGTGTGTCTGTGGTGTTGCGCGCGCAACTCACAGTTACAGACGAATTACCGCCACGGATTAGTGCAGTCCTTATGTGATGGCGAGGGGATGCAGCTGGTGCTTCAGCAACTACAGCAACCTTTTGACGGCAAGGCGGCGTCGTGGCAGAAGCAGCTGCAGCAGCATCAAGCGCTTTCCCTGCAGCCTTCGCAGCAGCAGCTGCGGCTGGCTGTCTGGCTGCAGCAGCAGGCGCTGCCCTCCCTGGCTGCTGTGCTGTCTCTCCAGCTGTGTCTGTGTCTGCAGCAGCTGCAGTCGCAGACTGTCTCCATTTCTAGCAGCCGAGACGCCTTACGCCTCCTGCTGAAGCGCGCCGTGGACTTGTGGGGGAAGACACAGGGCTTCCAGAGGTAGCACAAGCTGCTGTGCAAGTCAATCCGCTCCTCTCTCCACTACCACACAGTGGCCATACATTCTGTAGAAAAAATCGCGCAACCGTCTCGGTGAGCGTGGTGGCGTGTGGTCTTTGCCTTCAGAGAGGTCCTGCTGCTGGCACCTCTGCTGCTGCTGCTGCGCGTCAAAGAGCTGCGCATGTCGCATCTGCACAAGCAGCCGCAGAAGGTGCCCCAGCGTCACAGGCACCGGCACGAAGGGGGCATTGCATGTGACTTGCCAGGCTCCCTAACTCCTTTCGCTGAAGATCCTCAAGAGCACGACTCCTCGAAGCTCCCACGTTCTCCAAGGCAGCTGCCAGAAGCGGAGCCCTTCTTCCTGCTGCCGCTGTACGAAGGAGGGCCTTTGGTGGACTGCCTCGCAGCAGCTGCAAGCGACGTGCTGCTACCCCTGCTGCCGCGTCTGCTGCAGGAGTATCAGCAGCACCAGCTTGAGCCAAACGCAGCAATTGCTGCCTGCACAGCAGACGAAGCAGGAGCCAGTGGGCCTGCGAAAGCCTCCCCCCAGAGGCTCGGAAGCGAATACCGCCAGAAGAGGGGGCGACAGCAGCAGATTGTCGGCCTTTTAGTGCAGATAGTGACGCGTTGCAGTGAGCTGTTGAAGCCTGCTTTGTTCCTGCACCCCTTGCTGCAGCAGCAGGCACGTGCATACGAGCTGCGTGAAATTAGAGGCTCAGACAGTACACCTGACGAGAATAGCGCTTCTTTCGCAGCAGCAAAGGGTGGCAGCAGCAAAGCAGAGCGCTTGACGTCTATTGCCGCCGAGGAAGCTGCACGTTGTCTAGGGGACCCCAGTCCTCGAGAAGCAGCTGCTCTTTCTGAGCTGCAGCAGCAGCGCGAATCTGCCGCAGATCCTATTGTGGCCTTTCTGTGTAGCTTCTGCTTTAGCTGTCTCCCCAGCAGCACGGCCTCCGCAGCCGCTGCATCTGGGGTGTGTTGCACCCTCATTAGATGCTGCATTCTCCAAGAAGCCGTGCAGCTGCGCAGCGATAGGAGCGCTTGGCTATTATGGGAAATGGGGCAGCAGCAGGAGGAAGAGCCGCAGCGCATGCAGAACGACGGGGGAGTGCTGGAGCGTTTCTTGAGGCTGGCGGTTGTGCCCTTGCTGCGTGCTGCTCGCCTTAGCCACCGCCTCCTAGGGGTAGAGCTGCTGCAGCAGTTGCTGCATGCGCCCTTATCCAGCAGCAGCTACCCTTGCAGCGCAAACGGCAGAGGCCGCTCCAGCGGCTTAGAGCGGCCTCTGCTGTTTGCGTCTGAGGACAGCGGCACGCTGCTGTCGCCCCTCCTAACGGATGCAACACAAAGCGACAGGCATGCGCTGCTTCTGCAGCTACTGGTGCCTTTCTCTGCGGCATTGGAAGACTCCCAGCCGCTTATTCGGGCCAGAGCCGTTGAGGCGCTGCCGAATATTTGCGCCGTCCTTCTGCGTTCTGCAGCTGCAGCGCCAGCAGGCGGAGGAGCCGTTGGAGACACACGCTTGCAGAGCAGGCAGCTACAGCTGCTGCAGCTGCTGCTAAGGCCCTCCATCATAGAAGGCCTCAAAAACAGCTGCCTAGACCACAGCAAGACAGTCGTGCGGCGCGCCGGCGTGTCAGCGCTGCAGCAGCTGTTGCCGCTGCTGCTGCAGCACCTCACGCTGCTGCGGGTGCTGCCCGAACACTTCACGGCCTTCGCAGAGGGGGAGGCTGCTGCGCGAAGCCTCACTGAGCATGCAGCTGCGGCGATACACGTACAGGCAGCAGCAGAAAGGACGATTTCGGGTGCTATCGACCCTTCAGGGTGGAGTGTGTTTCGCCTTCTCGGTTGGAAGCAAATCGCAACACGCTGCAGAGACAATTCGGTCCTAGTGAGGAGGCAAGCCATGGCTGCGCTGCACACATTCACCACCGAGGCCCTTCACAAGCTGCTCGAGGAGGGGGAGCAACAGCTCATGTTTGCAAACAACGGGCAAGACGGCTTGCAGCGGATGCAGAGGGAGCAGCGTTTGCACGAGGGTGCAGGGCAGTGTGAGCAGTGGACGCAAAAGGAGCATCAGCTTCAGGTGCAGCAGCTGCTGCAACAACAACAGCAACAGCAGCAGGCGCAGCAGCAGCAGCATCAAGAGGAGAACTTGCAGGTCCAACCCCCGAGTGAGGCTGCTGCTGCTGCTCGGTCTGCTGTCGCTACCGCGCTGGTCGGCGGCATCTGCAGTGCGTGGAGGAACTTTATATTGCACGCAGCAACAGCTGCAGACGAGGAGCCGATGGTCAGAGAGAAGGCTTTCGAATTGACAGAGCAGCTGTTGCACTCCGACGGAAGCACCATGAGTAGGAGTTGCAGTGCAACGGGTGAAGCAGCAGCAGATGCAGCAGCAGACCTGGTTATATGGCGCTCGACAGACGAGCAGCTTCGAAACTTTAGGGTATTCTATGCAGCTTCCTGCAGCAAAAGGTAGGCAGCAATTCTCGAATCGCCTTAGAGGAAAAGGTAAGGACAGCTGGAAAATGCATGTTGAAACGCTACCAGATTCCCAGAATGGCTGCGCGTTCATGTAATTATGTGCTTGCAGGAACGGGATCGCTGCAGAGGTTCTTGAGGCGTGTATTCGCAGCGTGTGTGCGCCTAATGTTGCTGTGAGGCGGCTTCTGCAGCTGCAGGTATGGTTCGCTCCCGTTGTTGCTGCAATCGCTGTTGCTGCAATTGCTGTTGCTGCAATTGCTGTTGCTGGTGCGGGCAATAACTGAACAACGGCTGCTGGAGGCGGCGGCCTGCTACTGCTGTCGCCATGCATATCCATATCTGTTGGAAGCTCTGAATTTGGGGAGCGGTGCTTTTTGCTCTCTCTCTCTTTTGCGTTTTCAGGGGTTTTTGGACTGGGTGAATGAGAGTTCGACAAAGGCGAGCGCTGCCGCTGCAGACAGGCCCGTCAATAAAATGCCTGCGTGCGGTGCAAAACGGGCAGCAGAAGCTGCGGAAGCAGTCATTGCAGCGTGGCGGCATGTGGCGACTGCGGTGCTGCAGCAGGAGCAGCAAAAATGCGCTGCTCAACACGGCCCTGACACGCTGCAGCAGGAGCAGTCACACCGCATGCAGCAGCTTCCCTTGAGCGAGCTGCTGCACACGAAGGCTTCGCTGCTGCTGGAAGCTGTGCAGTCTGCATCTAGATTTGCTTCCGGAACCACGAGGGCAGCTGCTGCACAGGAGCTGTTGATGCTGCTGTCTCGGCAGCTGCTGCCAATCGATCTCGTGGCTCCCGCAGTACAGACGCTTTTTGCAGTGTCTATAGACCTTCAGTACTGCTCAGCATCTGCATCCTTCTTCATGCGTGCTCAAAGGCAGCAGCCAAACGATTCTTTGGGATGCAGCTGGACAGCAGCGCTGCTACAGTGTACTCGGGAGGGCCTTCAGCAGGAGCTGAAAGGCATGATACACCGTGCAGCAGCGGCCTTTCTGCATGGCAGCGCTGCAGCAGCAGCAAGTGGAGAAGAGCTGATAGTGCTTCTTCCAGACGATGAAGTCTTTTGCAGGTGCGCTGTTATCCTCCAATGACCCCTGCAGCAGCCGCCCTTGCGTTGGTCTTGAATGACAAAACGCAACTCTTGTCGATGTGATGGCTGCGGTGCCGCAGACATCTCGTGTTAGCTGGAGAGTTGGCTCTGATGGGGCTCCTACGACTGGAAGAGGATGTAGCAAAGGTCGTGCAGGTGAGCAGATAGGAAGCTGCCGCTTTGCCATGGAGATAAAGAAAAGAAGAAAAAACGGGGTGGGGAGGAGCATGGGAGTCTGGGGGAACGGAAGGGGGGGCTGGAAGGCATCTTCTGATGCAACGGCGGTTGCATTTTTGTGGCAGCTTTCGTTGCTGTTACTGTTTCTGCTGTTACTGTTGCTGCTTATTCTGCCGATGCTTTCCTTCTTGTCCCTCGTTTGCTGCGGTTGTAGGCGCTTGTGCTTGACAAGCTGCCTTCAGCTATCCAGAAGGTTGCGGAGTCGGGACTGACGTGGAAGCAGGATGCACCGCCTTGCACCCGCAGAGATTCTTCCGGCCTTGACACAGTTTTGACAGCAGCAGCGGCAGCAACGCCCCCGAGAAGAAGGACCCCGCCTCGCTTCGGAGGACTATTCGATAGAGATGATACTTCTGTCAGTCGCAACACCAACAGCAGCAGCATGACCACCACCCCCACCGACTCTCCTCAAGCGGCTGCGCTTGTTGCCTCCGCTTTGTCTCCCTTCGCTCCATTGCGTTCGCACAACTCCACCGAGCCGCAGAGCAAGAGACGCAGGCCAGCGTCCTCTCTCCAGCAGCAGCATCGCCGGCAGCTTGCGCCTCTCCCGCTGCGTGTAAGGGTGGTGGCTGTCCATGTGCTGGGGAAGTTGGCAGTTAGTGCGGGATGCGTGCCGTCCAGTGCTTCTGCGCCTGCTCTCTCAAATGCCTCGAAAAAAGGCCTTGTCGCGGGGCAGCAACAGTTGTTGCAGCTCGCCGTGGAGCTTCTGGCTGCGCAGCTGCATCCAGACGAACCCCATCTGGTTCGACTTAATGCCGTTGTGGTGAGCTGTTGCTCATATGCCCTTTCTGTGCCTCGGTCGTCCACGTTCGCCACCCCTTCTGCAAGCTGCGTGTGCGCCGCGTCGTTGCTGCTCGTGCTGTTGCAGGTGCTCAGCGATGTGCTGCAGCGTCATGGGCAGCTTGCGGACAAAGTTCTGCCTCTCATAGTTTCTGCAATAGCTTCAGATGGAGAAGCGTCTTTTAGCCCTCAGACATCCGCGGCAAGCGCCTTGGGGATGCCCCTTAAACCAATCAGCAACACGGGAGTAGTGGCCCCTCTGAGGAAGATGGCATTGGTGTGCTTGTCTCGACTTTTGACAGAGGATTTCGTGAGATGCAAGGGAGAGGTTGTTCTCGGGTAAGAAATCCTGAGAGGTTGCTGCAAGAACATATGCGAGAGCAGCGGTGTGTGCGCGCAAGGGGAGTGGCAGCTACAGCTGTCTCCCAGAGCTTTTTATGCAAGACAGGAGGCAGCAGACTGCCGAAGCCTCCGAGCATCGAGGTCTCCCGGGGAAGGACCAACGCCATTCGGAGGCAAAGATTTTTATGTACACACGGGCAGGATGTGTTTGCCACACGGGCTCAGCTCCTGCTCTTTGTGAAGGGCGGCTGTTTTACTGGCGATTTTTTCCCCCGGAGAGAAGAGTTCCGCTGCGATTTATGGGTACTACTGCGTCTCTTGCGATTGCGGCTTCAGACTTTTCTTCTGCCTGGGAGATGAGGATGCGTCCGTGCGGCAGCTGGCAGAATCCGTCTACTTGGGCGTAGTGCTGCCTCGACACGTGCGTCAAAATACACACGACACAGCGCTTGCGACGCTGTGGAGTTTTATTTTGCAAAACGGCTCGCTGCTAAAAGTCCTTCTCCTACCCCAATAGATAATTCCCTGGACGGCAAGCATGTCAAGGGTTTCCAGTGGATCGTGCTATGTCGTGTATACAGGAGAGCACGCTGCCTGCAATTTTCGTGGAGGCTCTCTGCGCACTCAACAAGGCGTATGGACACCCCGCCTTTAGGGGCCGGATGCTGGCTGCACAGCTGCAGTGCGCTTCCGATGCCCGCCGCAAGCAGGCAAGCACCGACGTCTCCTATAGCTCTTCCTGCGTTCGCACCAGTCTGCTTTGCAGCACTCATGCAGGTGTATAAAGGTGGCTGCAAAAGGGTTCAAATGCCTGCCTCGCAGTTCTCGCGCTGTCGACCTCCGTGCAGCCGGGTGTGTGTATGTGTCTACGAATGTATGTATGGAGGCATATGTATATATATATATATATATATATATATATATATATATATATATGCGTCTGTATGTGTTTGTGCCGCTGCTGCTATTTGGAGTGCAGAGGATCTACAGCTTTGTCCTAAAGTCTCTCTCGATGCTAAGGAAGCTCCAGCTTCAGCGGTGCGTTGCTTGCTGGTGTCCGTGCATAAATCGGAGATCCCATTTCGCACGCGCGAACCCGCCTCCTCTCATTCCCGCACTGGAGGTGTATCTTACACGGGTAGTGGTCTATGTCGCTACAACCTCCCTCCTGTCAGAGAGAAGGATGCATTCACAGACACAGACACACAGACACACACACAGACACACAGACACACGCACAGACACACACACACACACACAGAAAAAGACACATACACACACAGACACACACACAGACACACACACACAGACACACAGACACACACACACACACACACACACAAACAGGCATATTACCCACGTACATGCATACATCCAAACCCACTAACACACCTCTAGAAACTAACCTGTAGGTCCTCATGTGGTGTAGTGATCCACGCGCAGGCTGCTAGTTAGTCGAGTTTTATCCCCGTGGCTCGATGCGGAAGGAGAGAGCGATTTAGGGGCATCGTGCAGCATCACACCGCTGGCAATACCTGAGTCCTCCAAGGAACCGCTCGGGTGTCTGCTGGAGGACACGTTTCTGCTGCTCGCGTCGACAGACTTGCGCCTCAAGATATCCAAAACTGCCGAGGCAGCACTGTCCACTGAAGAGGGCTCCCGCAGCAAGCCTCCCACCAAAGGAGGCCCCCGCAGGCCTCAGCGAGGGGCCTCGCTGCAGATTGCATCCTGCGAAACTGGCGTGGCAGGCTTTGTTGCGGCAATGATCCGGCGGGTGCTCCAGACAGAGGTCCGTCTGGTCTTTCCCAGGTGGAGCGGTTGCATCCCTGATGTCAGAATCGCGAGTAGAAACACACGCAAAAGCACAAGTGCACGTGAAATTCGGTTGCTTTGCGGCGTAGGTAGTGCCGGTCCTTAAGTCTCTGGACGCGCTCTTTAGAGCTAGACGATCTCCGTTCCAGGAAGCCTGTATGCGGGCCGTATGCTGTCTCCTTAGAGACTACAGGTGAGTTTACTTCCGGAGAGACACTCAGCTTCCCGCATCGCAAAAGACACGAGTGTCGACCCCTCGTCGTCGCCCCGTAGGAGGCTCCCCCACTCTACCCCGCAAAAAAAAACCGGATAGTCTTCAGTCCTCCCCACCGGAGCCACTACCACCAGAGGCCACGGTAGCGCTTCACTGCCATGTGCCTCCATGCTGTGCCTGCTCGCTCTGGAAGATCCCGAAGCGAACGTTTCTCTGTGAAGCCCACCCGCCATGGCGAACTGTGATGGCTCCTGGGATGTCGGCCGGGGTGTCATTTTTGCAGAGACGAGCTAGAAGACCTCCTAGGAGACGAGACTCTGGCTAGGGAGGTCAAAGAGCAGCAGCAGCAACTCCTTCCTGAATCCTTTGGGGAGGTAGGAAGCTAGCAGACGCGCAGAGTTGCTCGACGATTTCTTGAGGGTTGCGCTGCTCTGCCCTCTTCGCCTGGGCTGCACTGCTGGTGTTATTACTCACACACTTTTGCGTTTGCAAGGGCACGCGACAAAAGCAACGGGGGGAAAAGCGGGGTTGCTCCATCACGCCGTGGGGGCTGCGCCACCGTCCGGAGTCTACACACTGGGTAATATCCCACCTCTCACCGTTCCTGTTTTAGCAAAAGGCGTCGGCTTTAGAACTGACAGAGTGGGCTGCAAGCTGTCCTCTCCCTCTATGAAACTTTGAATGAGAATAAAACAGCCAATCGGAGAGAGAGAGAGAGGCAGAATGCCGGTTCGCAAGAGGAGCCTAGTGTAGAACCTGTTTGGGTTGGTATTTGCTTGCTACTGGGATGCATGCCTTGCTGCTGGAGCTGCAAAGAGTGTGTAAAGCCCCATAATAGTGGTAAGTGTAGGCAGATTTTGCCCCGATTCGGGGTGTATTTAGCCTGAAAACACGGTTTGTTGGCGTGAGGCCTCCTTTCAGCAGCACCTCCGGTTGAGGCAGATTGCTACAGAAATGAGCTTCAAGGGTCGGGCGGGCGCCATCGACCGAGCACACATAGATAGACGAGTCCACGCACACCTGCTAAGGGATGTAACCGTGTCTGCAGTACGTCAGAAGACGGAGAGACAACGATGGAAGCATGTGAACGGTGCCCCGTGAGGGGAGCCGAGCAGTGCCAGCGTGGTGGCATACGCTTGCATTTGGAAACCTCCAGTAGAAGAAATTATTCTCAGGGCATTTTCGAGCGTAGTCATGCCGCCACTCCCTGAAAGTGCCCTTTGCCGCGTAAGCTAGCCGCGGTAGGCCCCGAAGGGGGGGTTGTTTTCAGAAGCATGGTGCTAATAGCGCTGGCTAGCAGCCTGCAGCAAACCGTCTCTTCGCCGGTAGGGGGAAACACATGTTTCGCTAAAAGCAGGGCGATGGGGAGGCATGTCGTGCATACGAGACGCTTTCGTGACCAGATCTATTGTCACCATCTCATGGTACACACTCGCAAGGCGGGACTAACGTTTAAAGGCGAAGACTTGCTCGAAGACTCGGCGGTGAAGGACTGCGGCTGCACTTCTTCCTGCGCCTGTGCTCTCTGCCTGATGAGTAAAGGGGCACAGAAGCGGGAAACAAACAAAACGTCGAAAGTGCAGGCCCCCTGGTGCCCTCTGTGGGCTGTCCTGAAGGATCCACGCGGAGCCTCATGCAACCTTCTTGATGCAGGCTTGCTGAAAAGGCATCGCAGACACTAGGCACGCAACCCGCTGATTCGCAGGCAGGGCGCAAGGCACGCAACGCTACAGCAGAAACAAATCAGCACGCCAAAAGCACCTTGACTCTATTCAAAATATCTTGTGAGTTTTGCAAGCCCATGCGCAGCTCTGTCGCAGTTGGCATGATGTTTGCCTGCATCGCTTCCCCAATAGCGACGCAAACTGGATCCTTGCCCATTGTTGCAGCAGCAATGACCTGCGGCACAGAGAGATTCAAACATGCACGCACATTTGCACACGTACACACATACATACATATATACATACATACATACATACACATGCAGCCCGAAAGAGACACAGCTCTCTGGCGGTGAGAAGAGGCTCTGGCGATGCAGGTCACTAGAAAGACACACAGAACTCTGCTGCGGGAGAGTTCGGAGATGCTTCTACCGCAGAATTAAAAAGTGGGTTGGGCGTAGGGTATGGCGCACAGCCTAATAGCAACCAGCATCGCTCAGGAGACAGCCCGACAGTTTCTCCACGCAGGCACCGCACAAAAAAACAGCCCTTCGAAAGATCTGCTCTACACAGCCAGTTTGTTGGGGCTCGCCTTTTCGCCTTTCGTGTAGTAAGCGACGAACTGCATTTTGGCGAGATCGCCTTCTATAATGACGTCCTCGAAGCCGGCGCCGTTACCGATGTACCTGTGAAAAGAAAATGCAGTGGCGCGCGAGGATTCAGGTGGATTGCATGCGACGCGTGTGCCCCCGGTCTGTGGCATGTTGATGCGGGGGGAGGGGCACGAGAGGCGAAAAATGACATGGAGGCTGAAACAAGGAACACAAAGCTGCGCAACAAGGTCGAGCGAAGCATTTGTGGCGGCCTGTGCATTGGAGAGGAAGAGAAGAGCACAGATATGAGTTTTATCGGGGCCCCCCATGGCAAGAACGTGTTTGGTGTGCGCAGCATCCGGCAGGTGGCACCTCTGGGCATGCAGGCGTCCATATAAGCAGAGAACAAGAAGTGTTAGCGCGGGGGTAAAGTGGCTAAGCAGTCAGAGCTCAGCAGCACGAACCTCAGCCCCTTCCCAAAAACCATCGTCCAGAAAAAAGGAAGCGCCGTGAAAGGCTTATTGAGACCCAGCATATTCGCTGCGGCTGCTCTGCCCTGATCCATAGCAGTGGCATAGTGCTCGACGCGTGTCTCCTGGCCTAGAGCACAAACAGAAACGGTCCCCTAAGCATCTGAGGAAACATGTGCATGCTCCCCGCTAACGTCGCCACCCTCGAACCCACGCGTGCACGCAAGGGGCTTCCAGTGCGGCGAAAATCAGAGAAAAAAACGACCACATCAGCAGCAGCACTCCCTTCAGCGGCAGCGCCACCTCGCCGTGCAGGAGAGGGAGGCACGGGTAAACAACCTACCCGACTTGACATACGGGAAGCTTGCAATATCTCCCGCAGCGAATATCGTTGGATGAGAGGCAGACCTGCGAAAGGAGATGCGACTGCGATTTGTTCAAGCATAGAATGGCAGCTTACCCGTCTATCCACTCACTAGCACGCAGAAGGCAGCGTGGAAGGCGCTCGAGAATAAAGAACACGAACAGAAACAGACTGGCGATACGAAATATGCACTTCTACAGGCGGCACCCCAGGAAGGCAGACCCCAACGAAAGCGGCCACACGGCAGCCCTCAGGATACATCAGTATACATATAGATATACACATAGAAACCGGGAGAGAAAAATATAGATAGAGATAGGAAGCAGCTGCCAAGTTGGCGATTTTGCGGCGAAAAACGATGCATCCTTGGCCAGCACAAATATCACAACATACAGCACAAAGAGCAGAGCGGGTCTGTCAACAAAGCGCACGAGAGCAAAGGATCGACGAGCAATCCGCCTTGGGAACCTTGCTTGACTGGCGTGCTACTCTGTATGGCAGGGAGATCTGGAGTGACGCCAACCCCGACAACCACCCTGTCAGCGGCCAAGACGTTCCCGTTGTTGAGCTTCACCCCGATGACATTGCCGTTCCTCGTCCTGTAACACACCACTGACATGTGTTTGAAGCGACCCCTTGCTAGAAACACACTAGGGGATGGAGGCAGTGCTGCTGGCGTGCGTGCATGCGGAGACGACGCGCTCATACAGCAGGTCCCTCCACACCCAATGTGATGAGAGAGGCAGCACACGCAGAAGCGCACATGAATTCTGCAACTTCCGCCTCGGGGATGAAGGTGACGTTGTTAGACTCCAGCAAATTCTTGAAGGCTCCACCGACGCGCTGCCCGAGTGCCCGCTCAAAGGGAACCGACTCCTGCAATATTAAAACAAACGACACAACAAAATCGACGCAAACGCATGCATTTTTTTACGGTGCTGGGTACATGCACACAGGCATTTGGTGCTATATAAGTCTGTCCACACATGCAAGGTCCCGCGAAGGCTTTTGCCGCCTTCCATTCCACAAGTGCACTGCGTGCAGACCAACAAAGCAAGTGGCTATCGCTGTGCTGACTGGGGAAGCAGTGGCGACGGATCCAGACACACAGGGGGGTGGGGTGGAGGGGGGCACAGTCAGCTGTGCTACACGGTAGAGCACCCCCGCCGCAGAGACAGAACATTCGAATGAGAAGGAAGCTCAGAAATACGCCTTACACGGCCGACTACTGTGACATCCTTGACGCCTATTTTCTTAAGCGCTGCAGCAATTTCAACTCCAATGAAAGACGAGCCCACAACGACGTGCTTCAAGCTACCAACGGTATTAATGTCCGAAAATAGACTCTTCCGCATCTTTTCCAAATCCACCATGTCGCGCAAGTAGAACACCCCAGAGGCATCTGCTCCCTTCACTGCATCCAGCCGGCGCACACGGCTGCCGGTGCAGAGCAAAAGCTGAATGCAGGCAACCCGCCAAGCACGAATACACATACACTTCCATAAAACGAAAAAATGCCAAGTCAGACGCACAACACAGCATAGAAAAGCACGCACACAGACAGAGAGACAGACAGAGAGAGACAGACACAGACAAAGAGAGACAAACAGAGAGGAATAAACAGACGGACACACACAGACACACACGCAGACACCGACACACACACAGACACAGACACACAGTAACACATACCGACACACACACAGAAAGAGACACACAGAGAGAGAGACACACACACAGACACCGACACACATATTGACACACACAGCGACACAAACGTGCTGGTGCTGCTCAGTTGGACAGAGCGCCACGAGAGGTCCTGGCAGGAAAAGCCTGTAGCAGTCGTCTAGCGACAGCGGAGGACGCATACAAAACTTTGGAAGATGCACAGCAGACACACAAGCCGTGGCGTCAGACAGCTGCCGGCACGGCTGCACAGACATGCCTTATCGTAGTGAAGCTCATGACCCCGGTTCGTTTTGAGAGTTTGTGTGTCTGCGTTGATGGTCTGGACCGTCTCTCCAAGGCGCAAATCAACTTGAAGCGTCTCCGTCAAATATTCTCTCGGGCGGAGCAGGACTGTGCGAGCAGCAGCAGCAGCAGCAGCGCCACCACAAGCAGACCTGGCTGCCTGTGCGTGAATGGAACGCACCCTTTGAGTCTAAGAGAGCGGCGAAAAGGGTCCAAGGAGAGGAAAAATTCTGGTAGTCAGGTAGGCCTTTGGCGGTATGCATGGTGCCCAGAACATGCGGCTGTATATGTGTGCGACAGGCAGCCCACTGTTTTCGGGTTCGCATCGGATGTTCTTGCTTAGCATGATGCGGTCGTAAGGAGGCAGCTCTTCTCTAGAAATCATCACAAGCTTGCCTGCGGGAAAAACGCATCATCAGGAGAAGAGTGGCTGGCCTGCGATGCAAGCCTCAGGACGCAGGCAAGCCTATGAAAAGCCCTCCTCGCATGGCGAATAAGCTGCGGGTGCTGCCCTCGCCACAGAGAAGCGAGTGGAAGACAAAGCACGCAGGATACGGCGAAGCATGCATGAGACTGCATGCTTTGCGCGGGGGAGAGCAGCCATCCAGAGAGAAGGCCTTGCACGCACGCAGCAGGCAGGCAGTGCCATGAAAAAAACCATGTCTAAGTCAAGGCACTAGACGACACCTCGAAAGCCTAGCGCGCGAAGTTCTTCTACCGCAGCAGACGCCGCTGCGCCACCCCCAACAACTACAAACGTGCTGTCGTGGAAGGCCTGCAGACAGCACATCGAGGCAGTCATAACCCCTCGCCAGCGGCGATGTCTTCTGAGGTCGAAGAATGCCCACAGCGAGCGCTCCACCCCACTGCGTAAACCAACGGTGCAAGGAGGTTCCCCTGAGCTCGATCGGTTCTCAAAGGCGCTTGCTCTGTGAGCCGCATCTGCTCCTAGGCGTGCAGAGAGGCCCTTGCACGCTCGGAAGAGGGGTCAACAAATTACTGTTTCTGGTCGAGGCGTGCAGCAGGAAAAACTCGGGGCTTTTTCGTCTTCGAGTCGGGGAGGCAGACTCGCAAATACCGTGGTTCCCTTGATCGTCACGGGATAACTCTGAATGTCTTTCGCCACAGGCCCTTCGTGATCGCAAGGCGCACATACAACCCACGAAGACGCTAATCGGCTGGCAGCAAGCCGCCCACAGCACCAGAAAAATATGATGCAGGCAACAGCGATCCTGGAGGGAAATCCCCTCTCTAGAAAATAAAAAACTCGGCTGTACCCCAGGCACCGCATGCCTGTCGCGCGTCGCTCCGGCTGCCTTCAAGGAACACATGCCGACTCGTCCAGAGACATACAGTGGAGGGCCTCATTTTTAATTTAAAAAAATACCAAGGGTGTAGGTACACCCCAGCACCTGTCTTCGAAGCGACTTCGACCAGACCTACCCGCAATACACTTCCCCGTCTTGAAGTCAAACTTCGCATCGTGCCAAGGACATGTGACGTGGTCTCGTGTTGCTACACCTGCACTCCAATGCGAGGCGCAGTCGGCAGCAGCGACAGCTCCAAAACACACAGTTGATGCTTGTGAATCCCGTTCCAAGGAACCCCCTGCACCTTTCTACTCGGGTTAGAGCACGAGCAGCAAATTAGCTGCTGGCGCTGCCAGTAATAACGATGCAACACACCGCCTTCAGCCCTGCATCTGGATGGTCGGCATCAGGAGCAAAAAACATTCCCCCCCTCAAATACGGTCCTGACACACCCCCATCAAACGTCTGGACACCTAGCCCTTAAGCTGCAAAGCCCCTCCCCCCTTCACGTGTTCTGTATAAGCGCAGTTCCGTGCCAATAGAGAACGACAGGTACAAAAGCCTTTGCCTCCCCACCGCACGCAGCCGTTGGTACCGTTGGTTTTGACGCACGTCAAGCACTGCCCCCATGCATTTGCATTGCACTACGCTTGCTGGCTAGCTAGCAAACCCTCCCCGGAGGCCAGCCGACACTACTCCTAGGAGAAAGGCGATATCAACAGCTGTTGGGGCAGTTTAGTTTTAGGCAAAGGGCCCCAAGAAACAGCGTATTCTACGGCGTATCTATATACATGCGCCCTGGGTGTCTTCCATAAGCTGCACTGCAGCAACGGCTTGCCTTTGACGAGTGGAGCTCCATAATGGGGGCACGTGGCTCCCGTGCAGTAGAATTTGCCGTCCATATGAGCTACCAAGACTTTATCCTTTGCTGCAGCGCAGAGCACCAGGATCCACGCAAAGTTAGAAGGCCCATGTGTGCAGCCGTGCATTCGCGAGACTGGAGGAGGCGCAGACAAGGGGGCAGCAATCACAGCAGCAACCCCCTCAGCGATGACGGCCGGCAGCGGCATGAGCCTCCTGTATCGGGGGCGTGTGGCAGCGGCTTACCCTCGTTGACAGTGACTTCGTAAATCCCTCCTTCTGGAAAATCTGAGACGTCTCCTAGAGGCACTTCGCTGCGTCCAGACGAGAAGCAGAAGGCGGCAACAGCCGAAGCGAGCGCCACTTGCCGCGATTTCGTGGATTGCCCTCGTTGCCGCTGCTGCTGCTGGTGGAAGTACAGCGGCGAGGTGACGGCACTGCCCACACGCAAGCGCCTCTGCTGCTGCAGAAGAGCAGCGGCGCCAAGCCGCCGGAGCAGTGTCGGTTTCCAAAAGCTCATTGCTTCGAGGCAGGAGGACCTCTGCTTCGCTGATGAGTCCACCGCAAGGAGGTACGTGGGTGGCTGAGGGTTCCGTGCTTGCGTGGTATACCAGCACACTGGGGAGCGGTGGCAGCTACTAACGCTGAAACCATGAACAAAAAATCCGAAAATAAGAATTTGCACGCAGTACTGTCGCTTTGGCCGCTGCAACCTCCCAACGGGAAAGCCCCCCTGCCGTAGGGAGGGGGCCCCCGCTGGACAGCGGAGTGTAGCTAGCGACTGCTGCTTTACTTGAGCATCTGCGAAGCAAAACATGCTTCAACCGTTCGATAAGCTTGGTTTATCGCCAAGCTCGAGCTCTGCCTTAGGGCGTCTTCCAGGGCCAGAGCTCTCAGCCTCCTCATGTGCCGCCGTCCGCTGAGGCGCACCCTGTAGTTGCAACTTCGAAGGCGGCAGAAGTCCTCCCTGCCAAAGGGAAGCCTGGAATCTCTAAAAAGAACCCCTGTCGGACTGCGTTAGCAGCCCTAAGCAGTGTAAAAGAGGAAGGGATCGTTAGGGGAAACTCTGCAAACTCACCCCTCTGGAGAAATCCAGGCAATCAGGCTAAAGGAGATGCAGAAAGGAGCACCGCGCATTTAAAGTAACTAGAGACATCAGAAGAGCACCGCGTATATCCGAAGGAACCTTTCTTTAAAGGGTGGACTCTGCCTTTTCTGTGTAGTGTGCGAGGAGGCACCCGCTCCCACCGTAGACGCTGCCCCAAGCAGCACCCACTCTAAGGCCCCTTTTCGTTTTCTGTCCAAAAGGCCCATGGACTACTGAGCATAAGAACGCAATTTTATGCATGGAGTCTGCAAGTAGGGACAGATGCCTTCTGTCGGCTAGTGTCAGAACATGGCGCCCCCACACACACAGACACGCAGTCCCTTTACGATGGTTCGTGGGCTATGTGCACCCGTGTAGAATCTCCAAGAACAAGCAACAAAGAATTAGGCGTCAAGAATTCAAATGACTTGCGTGTGGTTTATCTGACAATGTGCCGCTGCCTCTTCTTCAAAGACACCCCGAGTGCGCCCCGACAGCAAGCTTTTTTCTTTTCGCAAGCAAATCTCTCCAGACAGCAACCTGCTGTCCAGCCTCTCGGCGTCTTGGCAACGTTTGTTGCGTCTGCACCCGTATGCTCATTCGCTAGACGACGCAGTGAGACAGCAATAGCCCTCTAGGGGGTAGACTAGTTGGCTAGGTGAAGGGGTGGCTCCTGAAAGACAAAACCACGTGCCTTCCTAATTTGCCTGTATCAAAATAGCAGGGAGATTCCCAGTGTTGCAGCCTTCGCTGCACCCCGGATAGCTCCCCGGAGCCTCTAGGACTCCAGCAACAGGTGACTGAGGGCAGTACCACCTCCAACGAATTTATTTGCCGGCAGAAGATCCGCAAGCGCCTCCTCCTCCATGGCTCTCTGCTTCTGCTCACAGACACACACGTACACACAAGCACGCATCCCAGATGCACACATGTACACATGCCGAATCCAACAAACAGTCAGAACCTGCAACGAACGAACTGAGCCCATCCTGCTCCGGTTGTTCGTCATGTGCTGCTGCACGCGTCTAGAAAATCTGCATTTCTTTGTTTGGCCACAATTGCTGCTCCAACTTACCCCTGCTGCAGCGACGCGGCAGCAGTCGTCTAAGAGTGCTTTCAAAGCCACCCGGCTGGGGATTTTGCGGGCTCGCTTGATCCTGTGGCCCTCTTCCTCCGCTTCGCCTCCTGCCTCTGCTGCGGCTGGTAGCTGTGCATCTCGCGCTGATCCAGCTCTCTCACAAACAACGCCCTCCATCAGCTGCAGCGGCAGATGCTGCTCTTCCTTCTCCGTTTCTGCAATGAACTTCTGCAGCGCCTGAGGCAGCTCTCCAGCGGCAGCGGAAGATCGGCCCTCGGGGCGCTCTACAGTGTCTCTGATCCACGCGGCGAAGGCATCAGCCTCTTCCTCCTCTGCTGCCGTTTGCGCCGCTTGTGCCTCTGCTGCTGCCGCTGATGCAGAGGTGGACGTCCCTGGTGCGTCTCCTGTAGAGACTTTGGGGTGCGCCTCTGCTGTCTCTTCGGTTGGCTGGGGCCTCATGGGTGAGGATTCGGGGGATGCAACTCGGGAACGCCTCCTCCCCCTGAGGGTTTGTTTGGGCGTGCGTCGTGATTCAAGCGACTCAGAAGCATCGCTGATCTCCTCATTGCCAGCAAGCGATGACTCGTCGCTAGGGGGAGGCTCTGGTGCCTCGGCCCTCTCAGGCTCACTGTCCTCCTTCTCTTCCTCAGTCTCCTCTTGCTGCTTTCGTTTCCGCCTGCGCTGCTCCTTTCTACGCTGCCTCTTCTGCTCCTCTTCCTGTTGCTGCTGCTGCCTGTGCCTCTTCTCCTCCTCTTTTCGCTGCCGCTCTTCATTCTGCTGCTGCTGCTGCACAATCTCCGCAAGGGCGTCGGCTTCTTCCTGCAGCGCAGACGCGCTGCTCAGCCGCGGATCCGAGAGAGCCCGCAGTATCAGCTTGAGCTGTCTTCGAAGCCACGAAGCGGGAAGGTGGCAAGGATCTGCTAGCCATATCCACCGTTTGTTGTCACTTCCTACGGTTGGCTGCCCCCCCAAAGCAGCGCACACCCAGAGGGCCTCAAGCGTTGTAGGGAGACGGCCGCGTCCAATGGCTTCAACTGGAAGGCTTTCATGCGATTCAGATCCGAGTAAAGCGTGTTCTTCATCGCCTGCTTCGCCATGCTGTGTTACGACCAAGTTGCCTACTTCACGCTCAGCGTCTGCTGCCGCTGCTGCTGCTGCTGCCTCATCAGCCTGTTCGCAAGCCGCTACTGCGTCTGCTGCTGCTGCTGCGCGTCGGCCTAGCCAGGTGTCTAGACAGCTTATGAGCCGCAGGAGCTGCTCGTCGGCACCAACCACTTCCCCCATCTCTCCCCCCTCGATAAAGCGGCGCCACTGCAGCAGCTTCTGCACCAACACAAGCTGTTGCTGGGGCGTAGGCTTCGGAGGATACGTCTTGATGCGCAAAGGCTGATCGACGGGCCTTGAGGATCCTTTGTCTTTAGATTTGTGCTTGCTGTGCGTTTTCTTGCGTGAAGCATGCCCTTCTCTCATGCCGTTCCGATCTCTTTCCCTGTCTCGGTTCGGGTGATTCGTCCCAGCATCAGCATGTCGGGGTCGTACATCCTCAACAAGCATCTCGAGATCCTAAAAAGCAGCAGATACCAGCAATAGGGGGGCGTGTAAGGGGAAAGGAAAAGGGGGGGCGGGAAGTGGGGACAGTCCGGAGGTTGGAACGATTCGAAGAGGCAGGAGCGCCTGTAAAATCGATTCGGGGAGTCAGCTAACTGCGGCAGTACCGTCCTTGGCGGCTAGCCGCCGGTGAGCGCTCAGGCTAGCCAAAATTGGTCTTACGTCTAAATCTCGCGTATGCATGGCCTCAAAGACCTGCAGTCTATCCTTCCACGTCGCTGCCGAAACGCTTTTAGGCAGCTGCCAGCGAGCCTCTCCGTCAGAGCACTCCATCCCCATAAGCCACAGCAATCTTCTCAACGACCTTTCTTTTTGGAGGCCTGTAAACCACGTCAACCCTTCTAGCTTGAGCAGGCGGCGTTCCTCCGCGCTATCCTCCCCTTGCTGCTGCTTGTCTTCTTCGTGTGGAGGCGCCTCGCCTTCTAGCTGCTGCAGAAGCTTCTTGAATGCGCCGACTAGCGCAGCCAAAGCCTCCTTCGGTTCCCTCAGTTGCGTCGCTGCCGCTGTCGCAGCCTCCGACTCCCAGCTGCTCGCGTCATCAGCAAAGAGGCCGGTAGCGGCGCCTGCTGCTTGAGACTCTGCTGCTGCCCCCAGCTCCAGCAGGCGGCGCTGGAAGTCGATGAGACCCCCCGCAAGGGCAGCACTGCGGAAGGAGAAGCCGCCACTCCGTTTCTTGTGCTGCTTATGCTTCTCCTTGCTTCGCTGCTGGTGGCGCTGTTGCTCTGCTTCCAAGTCCTGCAAAAGAACAAAAATCGACACAGAGACAGAGAGAGAATGCGCGCATGCACGCGAGGCGAGTCCGCATTAGGCACCAGCAAACACTTTACCCGTGCAACGCATGCAACCTGCGGAGCGCTCGTACAAACCACAAGGCAACTGCCCGCAAAGATTTATATGTAAACATGAAAGGTATCTCCTTACTTTCAGCTCTCGAGATGCGAGCACCTCCAAGCGCTCAACGGTAGCAGCGATAAGCTCGTTCTGGCGATCTCGACGGAGGCACCAGGAAGTGCTGTCTGCCTTTCTCGTGCAACTGAGAGCTTCCATGAGCGCCTTAAATTGTGGGCTGTCTAGGACTGCCATTGGGGCTTCTGCTGGCTCCTCTACATGGATTTCCTCTTGTTGAGCTGACGCTGAGCCGCCGCTCAAGCTATGCATCTCCTCCAGCTGCCTCTGCAGACGGCATGCATCCCTTAAGGCAGATGCCACTCCGTGCAGCAGCTTTTCAGGAACGTATGTCACGCTTGAACGCAAATCAGCCTCGACATCTCCTGCCTCTGCACAGTACGCCCTCCAATCCTTCTTCCTAAAGGCGAAAACGGCAGCTGTAAGGGCAGATGAAAGGCCCACAGAATCCTGCAATCCGCACAGGCCAGAACACACACGCACACAAATACACACATACACACACACACACACACAGATACAGATCCATACAGATACAGATCCAAAGATATACATACAGATACACACACAACAGCTAGATAAAGCGGCACAGGAAGAGAGCAAGCAGGCTCCTAAGTGGGCCCTGTAAATGCAGCATGTCGGTGTTTTATAAGCGCCCTCCCATTCCACCATCCGCCTGCCCTCTCTCGATATATATATCCATATATGTATACATATGTATATATATATATCCTCATTTTGTTCCTCACGTCATGGCCTTCCTCTCCTCGCTCTCCGTCTTTACCGAGTCCATGAGGGCTGCTACCGTTCGGATCTTCCTCGTCAGCAGCCTCAGGCTCATCGCAATTATCCTGATCTCTCCCTCGCAGATGCTGAAGCCTCTTTCGGACAGCCTTCGGGTGTCTCCCCATGAGATCTGCAGCCGCAACCACCGAACCCACATTAGAGGACTGCGCGCTTGTTCGTGCTGCATTTCGGCAGTGCTGATTGCGGAGAAAAGGCGGATTGGTGGACGGACTACTCTACTCTGCAGGGCCACCCTTTACAGGTTGCATTTGCGTTGTTGCTGCTGGTTCGAGCAGTGTGGAGAGACTCGATTGCTAGAAGGGGGCAAGCGCGCTCACCGGCGATGTACGTATAGTAATCTCTGACACCTCTGAACTGCTCAAAGTATTGCATCAGCATGCAATCTTCTTCGTGAGTCCATACACCGCCGCTCCATACAGCACTCTGTCCTCCGTGCGCGGCCGCTGCCTCGTCTGCCGCGAGCTTGAGTGCCTCCTCCGGCTCTAGGTGTGGGAGCTGCTGCATCTGCTGCTGCACCTTCGCGTCAGTGCCTCGCTGGTAGTTGGAGCACAGAGATTGGAGGGCAGGCAGCGAAGCTGGGCACCAGAAGTCGTGCTGTGTCATTACCACGTCTTCTGCGGCTGCTGCGTTCGCCGTCCGTCCATTTTCGGCGTCCTCGACGCCAGCTGTACCGACAGCTCTGCAGGTCGTCAGCGTCTGCGGAGCGCGCTGCTTGCTGAACAGCAGCTCAATCGGGAGGAGTTGGTTGCTCCTCCAGAGGCGAAAGAAGCCGCGAACGGCCCAAGCCGCGAAATCTCCTAAGAAAGACAGCCGCGGATTCACCGTCACCTGCAGGAAAGCAAAAGGGGACAGCAAAAAGAAACACCTAGGGCGCTAGGAGAGAACTAGCGGGGGAGCGGGGGGAGAAAAGGAAGGGGGAGACATCAACATGGCTCACGCAACAAGGCCCTCACTAACGTACTAGGGCCCAGCCCCTCCAACAGCAGCAAGCATGGGCTTCTTGCCGCCTTTCCTTTGTTACCTGCGGATCGTTGAGCAGTCGTTGAAACACCAAGAAATGACTTAAATCAAAGAAAATCGCAACATTCTCGTTTGGCTTCCCTCTGTACTCCATAAGCTCCTGCATGAAGGCCACCATGCCCGAATTCACGGAGAACGGATTCGATGAATAGCGGCTCACCTGCGAGACGCACGCAGCACACGTGACAGATGCTTTCGCTTACCATGAGCGAGAAAGAAAGAAAGAGGGAAGAACAAGGAGGGTATCGGAGATACCTGCTGCCATAGCGCAACGGGCCGCTTTTATTTGACTTTGCTCAAGTCTTTGTCCATGCTATCTCTCTCTCTGTCTCTCTGTGCCTGGCTCTGTTTTTCGCGATAAGCCTAAGCCTGCCTCTGCTGCACCTTTCTAGCCTACGATCCTCTGAGCGCTAGGGAAGTGGGGGCTGCCTGGGGTGGCCTGGTTAGTATCACGCTGCTGCCGCTGTCTCACGCGTGTCTGCACTAATCGCATGCATGCTGAAGCTCGGGCAGGCGTCTTAATACGCCTCTTTTTCCCTGCGTGTGTGTGTGTGTTGGGCATGCATGTATGCCGAAGTGATTGTGTGCATGCGTGCATAGGTGTATGATGCATGCTTGTGTGTGTATGATGCATGCTTGTGTGTGTATGATGCATGTGTATGTATAATGCATGTGTGTGTATATGATGCATGCGTGTGTGTGTATGTGTGTGTGTATGTGTGTGTGTATATGATGCATGCGTGTGTGTGTGTATATGATGCATGCTTGTGTGTGTGTGTATAGGATGCATGCTTGTGTGTGTGTATAGGATGCATGCTTGTGTGTGTCAGCACCGCAGCCACTAGAGGACTTACAAAGGCCATGCAGTTACTGAGGATGTCTCCTCGGAAGAAGTCGCTGCGGATATCATCTATGGTCACCTGGCGAGTGCGGTGCTGCTGTGACTGCTGGAAATCATCTTCATCCCATAAGGCCGTAGCTGCAGCCCCCCCCGTCTTCCGCGACTTCCGAGTCTTGAAGCCGTCCACGCTGGCAGACACAACGCCGCCGAGCTGCTGCATCAGAGATAGCAGCGAGAGGGCACACTCCGCGGCAAAGAGAAAGACATTCGGATCTGTTGACCTTGGCTTGTACCTCCGCAAGGCGTACGAGAGATCAGACACAATTCCACTGCCAATCCACCGCTCAAACTGCTGCTGCACTGCAGAGCGGATCTCCGCTGCGCGGCTTTGCGCATGCACTTCCATCATCCGCAGCAGCTGCCTCAGACACCGCAGCGCTGCAACACACAGGCTGGTACTGCTGTGCTTTAGCCGCTCCACTCTCACGGACTGCTGCATGCATTCCAGCAAGAATTCGTGGATTAGCAGTGTATCGTAACCCTGCATACAGAAAATCATATCTATTCTGTCAAGCAGCTGAATTTCGTCCGCCTCTTCCGCCTGTTGCGGCGGAGGTGGCTGGTCTTGGCTCTCATCGAGCTGTCGTGCCCAACGGCGCTGCCATGCAGCTAAGTCGTCTCCTTGCTGCTGCTGCTGCTGTGCTTGCTTCTTCTTTTCCTGCTGCTGCATCGCGCGTGCCTGCTGTCTAAGGACGTTCGAGGCCGAGAAGAAGCGAACGTGGAACGCGAAGATCCACGCAATCAAATTCAGGAGGAGCTGGATCAAAAAACACACAACCCAACACACACGGCCGGCTGCCCCCCCATAATGCGCATGCGCACCTCCTCGGAGCCTACAAGATCGCCCTTGCTATATCCCCCCCTTGCTTTGCCCCCTTCTCCCCCCGCTGGTCAGAAAACGCTGGCGACTGCGCGCACCGAACTTCCACTAAAACACCCTCGCATTAAGCTTTCAGCAGCAGCGGGGCCTCTACAGAGGCTCCTTGCAGCAGCTGATGATACCTCTGCATCCCATGGTTTGTGGTGATCTGCATCGACCTGTCGGAGTTTATCCTTGAGCGCAGCCTCGATAAGAAACGCGAAGGAGTAGTGCCGTCCCGTGTACAGCGCGTTTTCGTGCGTCTGAGGGTCTATGGGGGTAGCGAAAGTCGCGGAAATACCAATGTATCCAGAAATCAACTGATGAACCTCCTGAGCTTTGGATGTGTGCAGCAAGGGTTCGCCCCCAACGTAGAGCCAGTCGCCACTGCAGAAGCTGCCGCTCAGATCCTTAGAACTGCACATTCCCACTCCTCTCGCAGGTGCTGCCCCTGCAGAAGAGTCCTCTCCTCCCTCGGCGCCCTGATGCATCACGTCACCCTCCAAATCAAACGGCAGGAGAAGCACATCCGTGTGGCCGAAGAGACGCGGATAGTTCAGCGTCTTCTGAGGCTGCAGGAACGGAAGATGCTGCACGCCGCGCTGACGCTGCTTATCTAACTCCACCTTCCGTTGCTGCTGCTGCAGCTGGCGTGCCCTGAGAGGGTCTTGCCTCCCGAGCTCGAGCAGCTGCTGCTGCTTCAGCTGCTCGTGCTCTCGCAGAGAAACGCACGGCGCGAGGAAGGATTCAGGACGGCTATGCGTGCCCTCCAGGATGCGGCTATCTTTCGTCCTTCTCGCACTGTTAAGGGTGTCGCTCACCCCGCTGCCGCCACTACTACCACGCGGTGGTCCCCTCGTCTCCCCCCCCCTTTTCTTCAGAATGCGTTGAAGCTCCTGCTGATTCTGAATCGAGCCGTCACACAGCACACACGAGACGCCCCCTGCAGCCCCCCTTCGTACCGCCCCCCAGGCGTGACAATGCGCACAGCACCAGACATCATGCAAACCAGAAGACGCACTTGCGCAAGAAACACAGCAAGCTGCAGCGGCGGCAGACTTGCTGCCAGGGCATGGAAAGTTCGCAGAACCCTCCAGATCTTCTGCATCAAGTCGTTGTGGACAGACGTGACACTCCAACTTCCCAGCGCCTTGCCCTCCGCTCCCGCACTGCTGCCGCCATTGAATTCTGCAACGCCGTCTGCACCTTCGGCCGCAGCAGCCCGCCGTGCCGCAGACACGTAGCTGCTGCCCTCCAAGTCAAACTGACGCTGCATCTCAGCGAACAGTAGGTGCTGCACGTCCTGGAGCAGCAGCTGCAGTATGCTCCCGCGCTGAAGCAGACATCATCAGTCAACAAACAGGCAGAACAGGATTCGGGTGCCTTGCGCGATGCAAAGGCGTGCACTAGGGAGAACACGCGGTGCAGTGAAGCTACCGAGGCCAGTAGCTGGAAGGCGGAGAGGGGGCGAGGAGGGGAAGAGGACTGGAGAGGGGGAGAGGAGAGGGGGAGGAAGGGAAGTGGAGGGGAGAGGAGGGGAGAGGGGGAGAGGAGAGGAGAGGGGGAGGAAGGGAAGTGGAGGGGAGGAAGGGAAGTGGAGGGGAAGTGGAGGGGAGAGGAGGGGAAGAGGACTGGAGAGTAGGGGAAAGGGGGAGAGGGGAAGCTTGCTTGCCTTGCTCTGCACGCCGTGTTGCAGCATGGATTTCACAAGCCTCAGCTGCTTCTGCGCAGCGACGTACGGAGGGTTGCCCCCCATGGCTGCCGCTGTAGAAGCAGCAGGCAGCTCCAGAGCAGCACACACAAAGTGTTGCACGCTTGCAACTGCTGCCTTTGCACGATCCACCAAGTCGCGAAGCCTGAGAAAGCGTGCCAGCCATAGCAGATTCCCATGCTAAGCACAACAACAGAGGTGCTAAGAGACAGACGCATGCAGCAAACACCTCCGACCCGAGGTGACATCCCTGCTGCCTTCCTCCTGCGGTCTCGCCATGGCAAAAAGACGAACGCGCTTCCCAGCACTCCCGTCCAGTCCCTCACCACCCTCAGCGAAGCGAGCGCTGCAGCAGCACAAAAAAGCAGCAAAAGCCTTTTTGCTCACCGACGATTCGCTGAAGCGATGGCCTCAGTGACAGCAAAGAGCTCTTCCTTTAAAGCCTCCAACTCGGTTCGGAGGGAGGCCCTCAAACGCTGGATTTCTGCAACTCCACCCTGACATGCAATGCCATAATTCAAAAGAGGTTGCGAGAAATACAAAAAAATCCAACAGCAGCCACAGCCAAGACAGCTACTTTCCCGCATGTAGGGGCTTGGAAGGCGACCATACCCACATATAAATATACACATATACATACATATGTATATGTATATGTATATGTGTATACACAGATATATACATATATATATATATGCATACATATATATACACATATATACACACACATACACACATAGCCACATGTATATACACATATTGATATACACACACACACACACGCATACACACACACATGCACACACACACACACATACACATACTCACATACATATATATAAATATACACCCTCATCCCCTCTCCCCACATGCACACCCTCTTAAACACACACCCTTCGGAGGCGGCCTGAGGGCTGTCGTTCCTCGGCGGTGTCTGCTGCCACGGGAGATTCCTCTAGAACGTCTGCCTCATCCTCGTGCGTAGCCGTCAACTGGTCCTTAAGCAGCTTCTCCCGCGTATACAGCGCGTCCTGCCGAGCTTTGAGCTCTTCTATCTCCTGCTGCAGCGGAGTGTTGCTGCAAAAAAAGCAGACGTGAACGCCTGAAAAGCGTCGAGGCCTTCCGTCCTGCTTGCCTAGCCCCCACTGGAGTGTCGGTGAGAGCCTCTTTCAGGCACCAGCGCAAGGCAGAAGGCGGCAGAAGCAGCAGCCCTTCAGCAAGATGCGCCAAGCAAGAAGCAGCAGTCCAGCACACACCGGCCTTTTCGCTCCAGAAGAAGAGTTTGATCAAAGTAAAACTTGGCGAGGAGCAGCCACAATCGGCCGCATGTCAGCGCTTCTTTTGTTTTCTGCGGCACAGAGTCCGCATCAACAACCCGCGGCAACACGAAAAGCAGCCTCAGCAGCTTAGCTCCGAGAAGAATTCCACGCGGTTTGCGTGCTGCTCAGTATGTGGAGGGGTGACGGACCAACAGGTAACACACGCAAGTAACATTCGGCACCGCTAGGAGAGAAGGCTTGAAGGGCTGGAAAGTGCCTGTTGCGTTTTTTCCTTAAAATTCGCCTTCCAAGCCCCCTTTTGTCCCCGTACACGCCTTCGAGCGCCCTGTGCATGCAGTACCTGCAGGCCGGCGCGGTACTTTGACACAATGTGACTTCGCTTGCGCCGTTCTTCCTCAATGAGGTCTTGTGCTGCCTGCTGCTCTTCAGAACTAAGGCCTTGCAACCTGTCTTTTCCCGCCGCATCCTTATCCACAGCCTCTGCATCCTGCACCCTGCGCTTCCATGTTTTCCCCGAGTCAAGGACTGCGGAAAATTTCAGCCAAAACTGCGCGCAGAAACAGGCACATCAGTAGGACACACAGAATACACATACACACATACATGTACAGATATATACGTGTCCACATATATACGTGCCCACATACATACGTTTACGCATATATACGTTTACACATGTACAATCGTCCACATTCATACGTTTACACATACATACGTTTACGCATATATACGTTTACACACACACAGTAGCTCTTGTGCGTTCTAGCGCGTCCTTTGCTGTAATGCTGCGGCTCATTTCTAGAGCCCCTGGCCGCACATGCCCTCGAAAAAAGTTTACCTTGATCCACTCGTCTGGAGGAGGGCACGCAAGGGAGCTGAGACACCGCAGCAGCTGCAGGAGGAGCAAGTACTGTTGCTGCTGCTCTTCGCTGCCCGCTTCAGCCTCATCGTAAAGACTGCAGAGCCGCTGCCACAGCGGCGACAAGCACCGCAGCACAAGGTCCTTCTCCTGAAGAAGCAGTCAACAACACACTGGGACGCTATAAATCACGTGTGAGTGTACAGCATGCAAACTGCAGCTCATGCCTCGCCAGAAGAGAGCAACGGCCTCAAACTCGACAGCTGTTCCTTGACGCGGACGAGGGAAAAGACTACACGGAGGGGGAAGGGGGGGAAGTTATCTTCAGCATCGCGAGCTGCTGCCAGTGCTTCTATGAGGCTGGGCTTACGAAAATCGCAAAGATGCAGAACCTGGGGTGTTGGTAGGCAAGATGGCCGTCTTCTATCTCGTAAAGGTACTGCTGCTGCTTAGTCCCATCGCCGCTACAGCCCTCACGTTTTAGCAGCAAATTCGCATCCTTGAGGTTCCTCACAGCCATAGGCGAGATGCTGAGCTCCACAGTAGAAACGTGATCCGTAGCGGCCACCGCTCCAGCTGCTCGAGCAACGCTACTGCCTTCGCGCGGCTGCATCCCCGATGCCTTTTCCTCTCCCGATGCTCTTGAGGAAGCTTGCTGCTGGTCAGAAATCTGCTGCACAAATGGTCCGAAGCGCCCTACAGGCTTCTTTTTGCCGAAGACACTCTGCATGATTCTAGCAAGTTTGGGATTCTGTTGCTGCAGCAGTGCCTTCTGGAACTGCTGCTCTTGCTGCCCTTGCTGTTGTTCTTGCTGCCCTTGCTGTTTCTCTCGCTCTTGTTGTTCTTGTTGCTCTTGGCGATGCAACTGCGGCGAATCTGAAGCCTCCGAATTCTGGCTGGGGAGTCCAGTCTGCCAGTTTTGCTGCTGCAGCGGCTTGTCAGGACCAGCTTCGTTCCCACCTGCTACTGCGCTTAAGGCGGCAGCAGCCGCTGCTGCTGCTGCTGCTGCGTCGTGTCGCACTTCCGTGTGAGCCAGATCATTGAGGGCAGCAAGGATCAGCTGCTGCTTGCGGAGACGCGCAGCTGCGTCATGCAGCAGCACGGGACGGAGGAAAGGAGGAGCCTCTTCGTCAAAGAGGGCGGCATCGTGATGACGTTGCTGCTGCAGCACGGCCTTTGCTGCCGCTGCGGCGCTTGCTGCTGGAGTTGGTCGCACTCCGCGTAAGTTCGTCGCTCCTGCGTTCGCAGAACCTCGAGAGGCCCCTGGCTCCCCCCTCAAGTAATCGGCCTCGTCGAACAACTCGCCATCACTGGCGGCTGCGTCATCCGGAGCAGCTGTCGCAGTGGAGCGACCCCACAAGAATTCTTCCGCATCAGAAGCCTGCAGAGAGAAAGTCGCATAATGACGTCTAGAGGGTGTTAGACTCCGCGATGGCTTATGCAACAGCAGCAGAGAATTAGCGGCTTCGTGAGGCTGGCTTACCCGTTCCTGCCCGTGCTGCAGGAAATCCTCATCGTCTTCGGAGATATCGCTCCTTTTATCGTCTTGAGAGTTTTCGCTGCCGTTTTCGCTGCCGTTTTCGCTGCTGCTGCTTTCGCTGCTGCTGCTATCCGTGCTTGCCCTGCGGCCGCGCCTGTGCGTTTCAGAATCGGTCGAAAACTCACCTTCATCCGACATCTTCCAATGGACTGGGGAGAGAATTGGAGAAGAAAGAGCCGTCAACTACAACCTGAAACAGCGGCAGTCACCAAAGCTTCGTAGAGTACACAACTCCCATCTGGTGTTGCTGCTGCACTTGTGAAATGCGTAGCTGGTGTAACGCGTGCTGCAGCAGCCTGCCGCCGTCCTTGCACAGATGTTAGCATCTGCTCCTCACCGAAGCCTAGGGCCTACCACCGGGCCTCAGAAGAAAAATATTTAGCCCCATACAGCCGGGTGCTCATTTTTCGCTGCCAGGGGCGGAGGTCATAACAGCTGCCTACAGAAACGACCCTGGGGGGGGAGGCGGAAGAGCTATAGACGCATGTGTTCAGCGTCTTCCGTGTCTGCTGCGTTTGATTCAAGTTAAGAAGCACGAGAATTTAAAAAGAGATCGCCGGCGGAATCTAAAGAAGCCGTTCAGACACCTGGAACACAAACCAGCCCCTTACTCTACCCCTGAACACCCACAACACCACCCAGTGCTCTTCACACGGCTGGGGTGGCGCAGTTCTAGCGGCTAAGGCGAATAATAACGGTAAATGTGGATGCATTGAAGCTAGAGAAAGGAACATCTTTCGGAAGCCGGTAATGATAAGTGCTTTTGGTCGTGGTAATGATCTAGAACTCCCCTCTAGCGAGGACCCCCCAGAGGGGCGATTGCCAAGTGACCTTGGAAGGATTTCCAGTTTCATTAGACTACAACTGCCATTTTTCTCCTTCCTTCCACGACCATGCATTCGAGGTTTCCGGATACCTTGATCGCGGCTGAACAAGAGAAGCTATGGCATTCCCTTGTACGTAGGTGGTACCTTTCCCCATCGGGCTGCTGGTAAGCTGCTTTGCGAGAAATCACCCGCCGAAGCACACCGAAAAGAGGCACTATGGGGGTGCCGGTGTAAGAAAATAATTGCAAGCTACAGCTCTCTAGTTGAACGTGCGCTCTGGCACACCGACTGGCAGCGCCGGGACTGTGTGCTTAACCAGAACGAGTCTCTTCGGCAATAACCAATACTCATCTTAGGACCTCTATAGAGATACCACAAGAGCCAATGCATGCGCATGCCAAAAGGTCATGAAAACGGGAAAGTGTCTTTCCAAGAGCTGCCTTGCCCTCTCCCTGCCCTCACCACGTAAGCTTCCAGTATTAGCGGATGAAATACAGCAGGGGTGCAAGTAGCTGTGGCCTCTGAGCACTCGTGGCATTCACCCACAGCCGCACGGTGTAGCTTATAGAATAGGTACACAACACACATTTTTTAAAAATATGTCGAACTCGGCAGGCAAGCGACACAGTCGACGGATACCCAAATTTTGAGTATTCATTACAGGAACACCAATAGAGACTGCCTGAGTGTAGCTTAACCCGGTGCATCGAGAGAAGGACATCAAATCAAGAAAGCAGAGCTCGCAAGAAAGCCTACTTTTGCGATCCACGGCGGTGCTATAGGGTGCAAGTACGAACTGCTCAGATCTAGTTTGCTTGCAAAATCTAATTCCCAATCATCCGAGGGAAGAGATGCGCCGCCCCGCCTTTTCACCTTGGATTTGCTGGAGCTTCTTTAGGGGGCTGCTTATTGGTGTCCACCTTGGTTACAACAGCTGTGCCAGCAATGATTTCAGCGATCGCATCTTCAAAGATTCCATTGGGTCTGAATCTAAGCGCCAGGCTACGGAGACGTTGGCTGGGGACTTACAAATTTCACACATCATGCACACAGCAGCTGCCTTTTAAGGCGTACAGGCTACCATTAAGGGAGGAAAGATCGTAGTAGTGTAATAATTCCTTTTTCGCTCCTAAACATTGTCTCAGCACAAACACGGGTGCAAGAGCTTCCAAGATTCTCCCTTTGTGGAACTTAAAAGACCTTCCTGCCTTATGTCCACCCTCACCATCAAGCGAGCATGGTATAGTCTTAGCGTGGTACGGCCTGCTGCCTCTTCTGTTTCCCACCAATCCACGGAATATTACAGGAAGGGGAGCACCGACACCACCGTAAACAATAAATGAGCAACAACAGGGTTGGCATCTACTTGCGAGGCTTCTCCCGAAGACAGTATGTTCATATTTCAAGTCCACTATGGTGCATCGGTGTGCCGCTCACATCAGAAGCAGTTTTTGTTTGCCATCCCACCACACAAGCTGCCAGCGCCAGTACATAACTTCGCGCAAGTCTAACCAAGAGAGTTGTGCACTGCACATACAATCACCGACAGAAAACAGTGGGATGATAGTGTAAACCACTGCAAAGCATGATACAGTAAATGCTTTTGGGCCCCTTTGGAGAAAGCCATCTTTCTGAGTTCCTTAAGGTGCATTTGCTTCCATTATTTGGAAAGCGTATACCCCCCGATTCACCACGTTGTCATACTGAAACGTTTGCGAGGAGGTGCGCATGGCAAGGGAGACTCAGCAGCTACAGCCTGTAAATGGGTCTGAGTCAACAGAACACCTCTAAGGGAAGGAGATTCTAAGGCACACAAGGCACCCGCCGTCGGATAGAAAGTGTTCGAGTGCTCCTACAGCCAGAATAAGCGCCAGAGCAGCCACAATCTCTGCTTGTGTCCATGTTGCATGTAATTTATGCATTTATGACTTGTACACATCCGCAACATAGACACTTTAAATTCCGAAAACAGATAGGCAATCAGAGGGCAAGAGTGAAAGTTCTCTGCGTGCTTTGGATGGATAAGACCAGCGCGGAATCAGATACTAGAGTCATGGTCTGCGCCGAAAAAACTGACGATTCAGGGTCGCTTTTCTTCAATGTCTGTGTTGAGGAATCTCCCCATCCGCGTAGTCACAATACTTTACCAGCTGCATATTGCTGAAGTAAGTGCTTTCGGCAACCGAAATGCATTTAAATAGGGCCGCTGGCAGGTGAAGGGCGACTGCATGTACGTTTGACCATATATCCTTGTTCTCTGTGTCTCGGAGTGCTGGTGATGCTCAACGAGCCTCTAACGAGGCATAGGAGCATTAGAAAACGTTACAACCAAAGATGGAGACTCCGCCTGAAGCCGTTGCAGTCCCGCAATATGCACGATATGTGTATAATGGAATTCAGATCCTTCACAGAGATGCTCTCAGGCGTGTAATGGAGAGTCTCCCATAGTGTGTATCGACTATCAAACAACAGACAACAGGGAACTCGTCGTATCAGAAAAAGAGACGCTTTGTTTTGGAATTGACCAAAATCAGCCTAGACTAGCTGTTAGGGTGGGCTGACCAACGGCGTTGTGCGGGGCAGTGGCTGCACAAGCGCAGCTAAGGGAAGGCACTTGTTCGGCCAGCGCAAATAAGGTGTGATGACAGGCAGACATGTGCTGTCTCAAGGTTGGCAAGCTTTCAGCCCCCGTATTCGTCATGACTGAGTCAGCAGACAGGCGACAAGACTAGCTGGTGGACTCTTACCAGGATCTATTGGCCTGGCTGCACTCTGCTCGCTGTACGCCTGGAGAGCTGCGTAACAATCTTATCGACGGTGTTTTCTCATCAAAAAGCACACGCTTTTAATGATCATGGCATCCCAGTGGCCAACTTCACTATCATCACAGGATGGAGGAATCAATATCGATTCGAAGCTCACAAAAAGGTATTGGAAATGTTGGACAGCAAGAATTCGAGGGGGCACGCACGCTTGGATATATCTCCAAAACTCCTTCGTCAGCATGCGTTGATTGATACTGCAGGGGTTACACGGAAGGCAAAGAATGCTCGCGCGGTACGCCGGTAGGCCGTCTCAAAGTGCTTCTCAGGTGTTTTACTCTCGCACTAGCGTGGTGAGGACTACACACGGAATGCAAAACACTTTAGGAAAAGAGTCCTTGTTCCAGCAGTAACAGCGCTTAATGGAGCTTCGCTTTAGTAAAGCTTGCCAGTCGCCTTGGTGCAGCGTTCACAAGTGCGATGAAGAAACCCGAAAGGAACTCTGCAGGAGAGGCAATAGAAGGCAAACTTTATCTTCGACAGACACGGCGCTGCAAAGGCTCGAATTCCGTGCCTGCGCAGCAAAAAAAAAGAGCTGTGCGAAAAAAAGGCTCCGTGAATCATTGGCTATTCACGCCATGATGCGACGTCCTGCAGGCTAGCGATCTGTGGAGCAGTGGATGTGATCACCGCGCTATAGTCAAGAATTGTCGCAACCCAAGTCAACGCCTCCAGACACTGGTAAGCCAACGTTCCACAAGGTGAATGCTATCATGTTGGAAATGGTGGCTAAAGAGGTGCTTAAAGGGCAGTGCGCACTGAGAACCATACACTTCGTCCCTTTATAGAACGGGTGAATCTTGGTCACATGTTACTGGCTGAGAAAATGTTCAGGACACAGGAGCAAACCGATTAGCGACATTAAAGACAATCTAATGGTCAACTTCGAACACCCTGTGTTTGCATTGAACCCACGGAGCTTAGTTCCTCAAAGTTTCGACTCGTTGTTCAAACGCCAATCTAATTAAGACTTCAAGACATACATGACTAACGTGGACGAAGAATGCTGAAACCAAGAACTGTTTGCTACATTGTGCTGCAAAACGTCCCCATCCATGCCAAAAGCTACTGCAAGAAAGCAAGAGAGAAGACAACCTATGCGGCTGGCCAAATGCTGTTCCTCCTCGAAAGTATCCGTGCGGTACTGTGCCTCTGCGTGCACGGCTTACTGCAGCACTCCGCAAATTGTTTCTGATGTGCCGTATAAGAGAGGCCCTGCTAATCTAAGCAGCTTTAGGGGCCGAAACACGACGGAAAAGCTGCGGGGGCTCTCATTTCCGTCTATCTCAATCCGGTCTACATGAAAGCAATGATGAGCTGTGCATACCGCTAGCCAGTACAGAGGCATGCCTTCCTACGGGTTCTTCATTAGAAGCACACAGCATATTTGTTGTCGCGGATACCGTTCACCTGCAAGGTGCATGAATTGTTTGCTGCGGGGTTCACAATCCTCCCCTAATTCGCGTGCTGCATCAAACAGCAGTGCCACTTAGCAATTGTCCTCGTTGCACCGGGCGCTCGCCGGGTTTACCGACTGGGGGGGTCCTAGCACAAGATTGCAGAGAACATTGTGGGGTAGCATGTTGACCAGGCTGTCTAGTATGGTAATAGAGGTGCCTTTGTCCGTTCTGGTGCCACCTATGTGGCGAGTTACTTATGAGGATATTCATTAAGAATGGATTGTACAAAAGTACCCAAAGGTTCTGGCCCCTGTGTGCCTAGAAAGCTAGCAACGTACAGGAACAATACAGCAAAGTCAGGTCAGGCCTGATAATATGTATGTACCCTAAGACGCGTGTATTTTCACACACTCTGTTGGCGCATTATAGAGAGTGCCATCAGTGAGGCCTTCTTTTCTTGAGTTGTGTATGGGGGATTCAGGGGACACACATACAGGGGTCAGTTGCCACACGCCAAGAGTAGCCTGCGTATGCAAGAATGAAGCTGCAACAGCCCTGACGCTTGTGTGCGGGTTGCCCGTTACCGTACAGCCGAGCGCTGCGACAGTTCTTTGGGCAACTCTTTGCATGCGCGCAGTCCCCTGTGCACTACTCGTGCGGTGCGACAGAAAAGCTATAAAGGTCGCACCCATGAGAAAATAGCTCCTCTTGCTACCCCGTATCGCACTGCAGTAGTATGCTCCTCTGTATACCCCCTGCCCTCCGTGGCAGTTCTACGGGATGAGCGCTGCAGCAAGGGGGGGCAGCAGGTGTACGCACAGGCAGAACAGCTAAAACTACAAACGAAGCGGGCAATCATGCCGACAACAACACGCCGGGGAGCCACCCCTACAACCTGCGGCCGGTCCGAACACCAGCACGAATTAAACCAAGAGAGTACTCTGCTTGACAGCGACGGAGAAGCAGACATATACGATGAGATCAACAAAGAAGAGACGAGGGCCACACTTGCGCCGGAAAAAGGCCGCGGCCCCTCTACTCTACAGAGACAAAACCAAGACGCCACACGTCATGCAGCAGCCACATACGGATGCGCATGATACATAGCTCGTATTCCTATTGTCTGGCCTGCGGAGCAGCAAGCATCCGCAGATATCGCAATGAGAGAGCATTTAAGGTGGCTGGCTGCCCGGTGCGGCACTGCTATCTCCGGTCCACCTCAACAATCTTCGCCGCAGAGGTGCTGCTCGATCCATAGAGATGCGGAAATGTTGCTTTCCAGTAGGGCGGAGGGGCAGGCCTGTCCTTTGGTCTCCGGCCTCCCCCCCCTCCCGAAGATCTGTCATCACCGGGGGTTCCTGTGTCTGCAGCATCATTTCCTTGAGCCTGAACGGCGGCAGGAGACGCCTCATCTGGAGTCGGGACCAAGTAATCATCGTCCTCGGGCATGCAGAACAGCCAGCGTAGCCACCAAGCGCGCCTCCCGTCCGCAGCCGCGGTATCGATGCCCGCTGCTGTTGCTGCGGCAATGGCTGCTCCAGCGACTCTCTGTCTCACACTGCCCACCACGCCGGCTCCCAAAGGGGCGGGTGCATCCTGAGGAGGCGTCGTCACATGAGGCCCCAGAGAGTGCAAAAGCACACAAGGCATGTTGTGCCGGCTGCTGAAGCTCGGATGGGCTGTAGAGAGCACTCGGTGCACGTTGGATGGGGTTGCGGGTGAGGCAGCAGCAGCCGCCACGTCGTCATGATTGCCCTTCGCGTGTCTGGCCTCTACGCAATCCGCCGCTGCTGCGACCCTTCGCGGAGCATCCTCAGTGCCTGCGTTTGCGAGAGTGCTGCACTTCCAAGCTGGACTACGCTGGCTCTTCTGGTTGTCGTCCGCGGTGACCTCCGCATAGTACTGGAAAACATGCTCACTCTCTGGTAGAGATATCATTCTGCGATCATCTGCTGCGCCATACTCAAACTTCTCCATAAATATTTGCATATGACGGCTCATCATTTCCACCATGCGCTCGTCGTCCTGACAAGGAGGCAGGCAGTCCAAAGCATACAAAACAAACCCGTGCTAAAAATCAGGAGTGTTGTCCATGGTACTACCAGCATAACACATGCGGTATGCATGCATGCACGCATGCATGCACGCATGAGGCCATCCATGCATCCGCACACTCAGAAGCTATCCAGAAACTGCAGTACCTCAGAAAAACGCCCCTGGTATTGGGGATGCTTATTGAAGAACACGAGAGCTGCAATGACCTCTCCCGATCTATCCATTACTGGAGCAGCCAAAACACTCCGCGTCTTCTGGTCAGGGTTTTCATCGAATTCGGGGTTAAATCGTGGATCCTGAGGGGATATAAAGGGGGAGAGGGGAAAAGTGGCAAACCGCAAGGAAGCGATGAAGGCAGAAATGCACTTCGAGACGGGCATGTGCCCCTTATAGAGTAGTTGGCGAACGCAAACGACGCACACACATTACTGGGGTGTATGTACTAGCAAACGCTTGCGGAAACGCAGCCCACACCGGTGAAGACTCTGGCCGTCATGTAGGACGCTTTGAAAGGCTAAATGGATAGCGTCAGAGAAAATATCACCTAGCTAGCGAGGAGGCTTCAAAACAAGCCACGATGAGGCAGCCTACCACTGAAGCATCCGCGCAGTTGAGAATGGCCTTGTTGTCGATTACCCAGGTTGTGAAGCACTTGCTCTTGTGTTTTTGCATGCGAATCGCCTTGTCCTCACCAAAAACCGCCTTGGACCACACCTCATCGCGGCTCGAATCGTATACAAAGAGTGCGGCCTGCAGCAAGGCGCATCAGCAGGGCATGTCAGCTAGAAGCCACCCCAGAGAGCGAACCCCCTCTAGGAAATCCCCCACCCCCCGTGTAGGAATGAAACACACAGAAATCTGCTGGTCAGCCTGTAGGTAGGCAAATGTTACTGAACACGCGCTAGCCGCACCGGCAACACTAACCGCCGGAGACGTCCATACACTCACCCGTTCACAGTGAAACAGCTTAGGCCCGTCGATCAAGACTGTCTCAAAGATCGTGTCCAGCTGTACAGTACAGACCCCCGCACGTTTCATGAGGTGCAGCACACAGTAAAAAGGCTACCCATTACACGAGGGCGTGCTGTCGTCAGCTCGGCTAGCAGCTAGCTGAAAGAGGCGGCGCGCTCAGCGTCCACGGCTGCTCTGGAGCATGACAAAATCAGCTACCTGTTGCTGATGCTTCAGCCTGTCTGCTCGATCCAAGTCAAGGACCAGCAATTGCAGCATTCCAAGAAGACATCCGCAGCAAACACCGGACGCCGCGCCTAAGGTCTTTGTCAGGCTGCACTCATGGCAGGCATGCTATCACGACGCAAAAATCTGCTGCCATGCAATGCATGTGCATGCATTATAGGGTAGCGCCTTCCCAGCCCAAGGCCCCATTCCCTCGGCCGTCATTCAGCAATACGGTTCGCCGCATATACAACGAGCACAGGGGAAGCAACTGAGCTGACTCTCACCCCCAAACATGCGCGATGCCACTTGTGCTGTGGGCCTACCTGAAGACAGCCGAGGCTCTCTGGGCTGCAGTGAGGTTTGGAGCAGGAAAGCCGAGTCTGTTGGCGCATGACTCAATAGTGGATCCGAAGAGAACCCCCGCAGTGTCGCTGCACAGCTGTCCCACTGCGGCAGCAGAAAGCGTGGCAAGCCCAAACTTGACGCCTAAGGTAGTGTCTAGCAGCTGCAAACGAGCATAAAAGGCAGAACGCATACGCGTACACACACACAATGGCGTCTTACTAGGCGGCATCCAAATGATACGGCCTTAAATAACGGCGCCTGCAGCTCTCCCTTGCACCAGTGCCGTTATTGCATTCCCTAGGAGACGCCTAAGAGGAGGAGAACGAACCAGCGGCAGCTAGCCACCGGCTCGCACAGAAAGACCCTTTTCCAGAATCGTGATATCGGAAGCCTGCAGAGGCCTTCAAAATAAACCGCTAGCAGCCCCCCACATGTTGTGCCTTCAGAGAATCGGCATCCCTGCCGCCGTATCGCGGAAAGCACGATCGTCGACTCCCCCAGGCTGTGAAAGAGCTACAACTACCCCCTCGCCCCCCTCCCCCCCAACTGCAAACGGGAATCTTACATCGCCTAGGCGGATCATGATCAGCTGATCCATAAGTCCAAAGCCAACCATGGGGAGCGCCGCAATCCCAAAAACGTGCCAAACTTCTTTCCAGCTCATATAGCTCTCGCCCCTAGCATGCGCCTTTGCCTGCTGCTGGTGGCCACCCCCCTGGTCACTCTCCTGCAACACCTGCGTCTGCACTTGCTCGTTCTGAGGCTCCTGCTGCTGCTTGCCGCTTCCTCGCGGCTCGCGCAAACGCAAGGCCTGCTTTTGCGGCTCAGACACCGCAGCTGGCAAATCGGCTGCCTCGAAAGCAGAGCTGGCAGCGCGCAGTTTCGACGTACGAACGTCAAGCACCTCCTCAAAGCCCGCAGACTCCGATGGAGGATGGTCGTTCCTGTCGAGAACCTCAGTCTGACAACGTTGGGGTGGCAGTGCGGGTTGGTGGTGCTCCTGCTGCTGCCCGTCATGTAAAAAGCAGGGAGCCTCTCCTTGAAAGACCCCAAACGTAGAAACCTCCGGCACAGACACCAGACGGCCTCTTGCTGAGGCTACAGCAGCAGCGCTGGCTGCGGCAGAGACGGAGGAAGACACAGCTGTTACCAACGTTGCTGCAACGTAGGTTGCCACGAGGAACGGCTCCAAGGGATAGGGGTTTGGGCAGCTTTCCCAAGGCGACCAGCTGCCACGCTGCTCCGAGCACTCCTCAAGCAAAGAAGGAACCCGACAGTTGCTGCTCCGTTTGCTGTCCATCTCGCTACAGCTGCATATCCTGGTGCACGTGGACAGATCGGCTTCAGGCAAATCTCTGCCTAGACGGCGGCTTGGTGGAGGACAGAGAGCTGTTGTGCTGCTGCTCTCACACACGCCGGTGCTGCTCGAGAAAGGGATACAGCTGCCGCTGCTTGTCACTGCGTTGCCTCTATTCTGCCGTGTCATCGAGGACAATTCTGAATGTCGGGTGTTGCAGCATGTGGTGCTGCGGATACTGGTGCTGTTGCTGCCGTTGCTGCCGTTGCCGTTGTTGCTGTTGCTGTTGCCGTCGCTGCTGCTGCAGCAGCCGCCAGCGGCAGCGCCGGTGTTGCTGCACACACCCCGCAGGCCGCCTATAGCGACTGTCCATCGTGCAAAGCTAGTGGAAGTGCGTGCAATAGCTGCCACGCGTGTTTCTGCTCCTGCTCCTGCTGCTTCTGCCGTTGCTGCACGGAAGGCGCTGCAACGGCATGATGCAGCAAGCCTCCGCGATGCCGCTGCTGTTGCAGCAAAGAGAAGCCCCTGAGACGGGCAGCGAGGAGCCACATTAAAAACAGAGAAAGCAGAGACGCAGCAGTACACCATGATCTGCTGGCTGCTCCTGCGGATTTTCTGCTGTTGCGGTGCAGCAGCGCTGCTCTTGAGAGTAGGTAGTAGCTTGTCCACCCCCCTGTGTGCCTTTCTCGGTTCCTTCCGCTGAATTTTCTTTCGCTGCCACCTGCTGTTCTTGCTGCTACTGTACGGGGTTCCTCCCGTCCAGCGCGCGACAAGAAAGGCAGACAAGCAAGTCCGCCTCCAGCGGCTAACTCCCACGAGATGTGTTCAAATGCCTCTTTCTTGCGCTGTAGCTGTTGCTGTTGCGGGCTCTGCCGAGCCGAGCCGCGGCAGCCAATCAATGCATGCAATACGCTCAGTTGATACTACTGCACAGGGGTTCCAATGTCGCAGGCAGCGGCCGCTGCCTGCGCCGTTTGGTGCTTCTGCTGCTTACCCTGATGCAGCTGTTGCTAGTGTTGCAGAGCGAGCGGCGGTTCCATCCTCGCCTCTCCCCCCGCAGTCAGAGACACACACAGCCTCAGCTAAGTTGGAGGAGGTAGGGGACGATACACGTAGAATCTGCGCTTCGGATCGCCCTGTGTGCGTCCTCTTCAGCGGGAGAAGCCTGGCGGAGAACCGAGGAACTGTGCTGCTACTAGCTAGCCCTCCCTCTACTGCGCTGCCTGCCGCCAACACGATGACGATGATCTTGGTGACAACGACGACGACACACACGGAGATAATGCGCAGGAGATGGGGGGTCTTTCCTCCTGCTGCTTCAACAAGGCGCGACCTCTGTACACGCTCCGTTGCTCCTGTTTTTAAATCACTGGTGAGCGGATTTGACGAGGAGAAGCACCTCCTCTGTCTCGGGGGGCTCAATGAGCTGCTGAACCATCGTCCGCACGCAGTTGCCGCTACTCTTCAGCTATGTGTGAGTTTCGGCTCTGTATCCGCAGGTGAAGAAAAAAAGTGGCGGCAAGTATTGCTAGCTCTGAGCTGCGCCTATGTTTTGCTGCTGCTGCCGCCGTTGCTGTTTCCGCAGCCGCTGTGCTGATGCAATCTAGGGTCTGTATCACGATGCCTGAGCGCGTCCTAAAGGTGCTGCCTCGACTGTCTACCCCGAGGACGGGTATGCCTCAGCGAGGTTCTAGCGGAGAGAACGAAGGGCGAAAAAGCGTCGAGGAAGGACAGCAAACGGTGAGTAAATGTGCTATTCGAGAGCGGCTGGCGAAAGTGATCAGGGCAGCTTGTGGCTGGTGCGTTGTGTGCTACTGGGTGCTCCGCAGTAGGAAGCAGGTTGAAGACGGCACAGGCTGCCTCGAGACAGCCCTTGGCTCATCCTCTTGTTTCCTCGTATTGCTGGTGCTGCCGGGATAAGCGTTGCCTCTGATACTGCAGGTGCAGCAAGGCGCCTTCCAAGTTTACCTGTGTACTGTCCGTCGACTGCACAAACAGCCAGGGAGACGGTAAAGCGGCACTGCCACAGAGTCCCAAACGAACAAGCAGCTGAAAGAGCCTCAGCGTGTTGTTTAAACTCGTCGACGGGCAATAGCGACAACACTACGAAGGCGCAGCGCCCTTTCTTCTTCAATGCAATGTAGGGTGACAGCTTCTCTCCACTTCCACTGACCAGAGGTATCGCTTTTCCAAGCAGACTCACCGTAAAGTGCCTTGGAATAAAATCCACAAGGGCTGGGAATAGAAGTCGGCGGTTTCCTGGGCTTCTTGGGTCGCTGACGCGGCGCTGCTGGAAGGCAAGCGGAGCCGAGTTGGTGCTCGAGAGGCCCTATAGAGGCTCTGCTCCAAAGGCAAATAGTCCCACAAGGCTTGAGTCGTGGCATACAGCCACAGTTCCGTGTTTGCTGCTGCTGTTGCCGCAGTTGCTGCTATACAGCCGCTGCCGCTGCCGCGCTCAGTAGCTAAAGCAGAAGCGAGAGACACGGCTGCAGTTAAATGGATCAGATTGGAAGGCCAGGCGATTCCAACTGCACGCCACGTGGATTGTTCCTTTTGTGGAAGGAGCCATTTCTCACGTAACCCCCAAAAGCCCTCCTAACGGAAGCACCGCACCAGAAGCTCTCTGCTGCACTGAAGCGGCTAGTGGCGCTGCGCAGGCGAGGGCCGCAGCAGAATCTCAAGCTAGGGAGATGTACCTTGTTTCATAGACAAGATTCCTTTTAGTTTCAGAAAGAGTTTAGCAAAATAGGACCAGGTTAACGGAGCCTTCATCCCCAATACCGTCCTCCTTGTGCTGCTGGCAACAACACCATACGAGAGCACGCCGGTCACCAGGAGCCCCCTTAGCAAACAATGCACCATGAAGTCCTGATTACGCAGGTCTGTAAAGCTAATGCGGTTATTTTCAGGAGTTTAGAGTACTTCGTCATTGGCGGTCATGAAATGCTCCCTAGGGAGCTATGTAACAGTTCAGCGCAACTTAATATGCAGTACCGTAAATACAGATATGGTGTCTTGCATTGGCTGAAAGGGTTGGTTTGCTGTCACATTCTCTGCAAGGAATGTACATATATGCCATGGCTCTACTCCTATCCTACGCTGTGGCACTTTCACAGGATCACGGGGACAGAGGTTGGCCTTTTGCCGTTAACAATGGTTTTAAGAAAAGCAGTGAAACGGGCTAGACTATACCAGATTTTTAACGCCACATATTATATTTAGTTAGAAAGATTAGTAAAGAAATGAGTAAATTTCATGTCTCTTCGTGTAGCTGGTTGATTGCCGAGTTTTGCTACGCCAATACAAGAAGACACGATGTTGTCTGCTTGTGCACTAGATGCTAGATGTAATATGCAAGTGCTATGATGCTCCGGAGTGCGTAGGAAGGTGCAGCTACGCTCACTTTACCTGGCTCTCTCCCTTCATGTCGGGAAACCTGAGGGCCCCGCGAAGGAAGAGGCGGCAGCTCACTCGGAAAGCTGTCCATTACTTTCTATCGTGTCTACCATAATCCTGAGATTAAGGCCCTCCCGAAGGAGACCTTGAGTCTAGCACTGAAGCTGGTGGCACTGCATAGTTCGACGCAAGTGTTCCCTATTCTTCCGCTGGCTGTGGATGCAGCGGGTTGTCAGGCTCCCCTAAGACAGTTGCCTGGCGTCAAAAAAGTTATATTACAATTCAGTAATCCAACTCTTTGGGGCAATAGTCTAACGAACGCACGCGTGGAAAGTTGAGGGTGGCACAACGCGTGTTGGGGAGATAGAGGCATGCCTTCAAGCTGATGGGAACGCAGCAGCTGTACAGCTGGTAGTAGGATATGATTCAACAGCCGATAAGATATCGGTAGCTGCGTCCAAAAGGCTGTGCTAGCCAGCCCAAAGTGACAGACGTGAAGATGGGCTAGTGCTCGAGCATTGCATCAGCTATACTAAAGATGTTCCTTACCTTGTACCCTTGAGCGCAAGAGAAGCAAGTGCTCCTTGCGGCAGGTCTATTGGAGGTGTAAGCAATTCAATGGCGGATTTTCATATCAACTATTTATTCCGCTTGCAGGGTTTTTCGCAGTCAATGCATACACTCCCCAGCTCATCTCTTTATGCCGAGATCAGCTCAACAGCAGGCCTTGGGAAAATGGAGCAAGCCGAAGCAGGCGAATCTACCAATGCATCGGTAGTTGGGTAAATATTTAACTTTGGTCCGAAGAAACAACGTAGACGAACAACAGTTTTTTCAGTGCTTTGTCCGAAGCCCACCAACGGTGCCGCTTCAGGAGGTCTCAAAGTGGAAGTTGACTCAACGAATCAATATCAGACCCTGGGAGATTCACAATTAATTGGCTTCTTGGGGTTTCAGGAGCAAATAAGCGC